CGTCGTGACACGGGCGTCGGGACGCCACATTTATATTTAACTTTGGCATCACTCGACATTCGACTTCACGCACCTCTTTCTCCACCTCCAACCATCTTTTTAGTCTCTCCTTTCATGTTTTTCTTCAAAAAAAAAAAAAAAAATTTCCTCATCTTCTTTTCTCTCGCCCTTCCTTTTTATCTATTTTTCTTTCATCCCATTTGACTTTCTTGAAAAATGTTTACAAGCGCATATGCATAACACATCAAAGTAAACGTCCATTATATGTATATATCATCGATGAGGTAACGGCCTAAAAGACAAGAATACTGTCAACGCGTACTCATCGATAATTTTAATTTTTGGCCAAGAATTGCAAAAAGAGATGCAATTAAGGTCACGACCTTAATTGCATCATTTTGTGTTTACATCAAAAGGGGATTATTGTTCTTTGGTTTTTCTTTTCTTATCTTCATTCAAACGCACCGCAAGTTTGATATAAGGAAAATGTGAATTTTAAAATAGAAGATTTTATCACGTAGGTCCTATAAAAATGTCAAAATAAAGTTAAAAACAAAACTTGATAGAATTAAAAAGATACGAAAATAGAGACTAACAGAAGAGATTTGAAGGAATATATAATTCAGTTAAATGCAACACTGAAGAAAGGATTTGATTTTTGACTACAAAAGGTTTAGTTGGTTTGTATGCAAAAAAAAAATATTTTTTCTGTTGCGTCAACAAAATTTTGGTTGTCTCAGAAAAATTTAGTTAAGTCAACAAAAATCCCTTTTCTCTAATTTTGCCTTAATCAAAGTTTGATATATAATCAATCAAAATTTTATTGAGTCAACAAAAAAATTTTTGATTACTTAAATTACATAACCAAGTAACAACCAACCCCATTTTTCAGTGAAATGAAAATAATTTACAAAAATTATGATAATATGTAACTATAAGGTCATATTATTGTTGCACAATGTTAATTTATTGGACACTTTTCTCGTAAAATATTCTGAATGAGTATTTTACTTATTAAGTAAATGAGTATTTCATCACGAAGTTGAACCAACTTTGAATAAAGGATCATAGTACATCTTTATTACAGATAGTGTTTAAAAATTTTATTAATAAAGTAAAATAAAATAATAAATAAATCAATGACCTTGTCAAGTCGTTTTTGAAAAAAATCAATTCGAAAAAAAATGAGTTTCCTTTGAAAAATTTAATACACTATTGAATTACAAAATTTAAGGTTAGGACGCTGATTTTCGAAATTTTTTTGAAAGGGAGAAAATTATTCAAATGAAATATAAAAATAACCAGGGTGTCCAGCGACCTTGAATTCCTTGAAAAGTACTTGAATTTTATAGCAAAACCTTGAATTTTTTATATTTTCTAAAATAATAGCTTAATTTTTTAGTCTCAAATACATTTGGTCTAACCATGACTAGAAAAAAGCGCGAAACATAATAAACTTTTTGAAAAAAAAACATTCTTCTCGATTCTCTGAATCATAGAATCGATTTCAAAGAATCGATTTTTTATAGGAATCGGTTGTTGATATGCAGGTGTTAGTGTCATGTGTAATATGTCGTTGGTAGTTTTTATTTTTTGTATCAAAGTTTCATTACAGAATAATTAAAAATTAGTACAATTTAGACTAATTTGAATTGTTACATGACACTTTACTAATTATAATTTAGAGAGTCATAAGTAGTAAAATATTTTCAAAATTATTATGTTAAAAGTGTATCTTGAAAAAAATTATTTTGGGCCTTGAAAACCTTGAAAAGTCCTTGAATTATTTTTTCAAGAACCACTGGACACCCTGAATAACATTATGTTGTATATATATATATAGCTGTCTCTCATAATTTTTTAAGCATTTTTATTAAGGAGGCACTCGCAGTTGTAGCGTCAAAAAATAGACATTTTTCATGAATTTTTTTCTCGTAAACCATTAAATTTTTTCAAAATATCGATTTATTATTTAAAAGTACATAATTTAAACTTAAATTTAAAAAAACATATTAAATAGTTCCAAAGTTATGGTTCTGTCGAAGTGACTTCTTTCCGAAAAATATGGTTTGTGGTGACCAACACCATGGAAATCTGGTTCGACTGAAATCAAAAATTGAAATGGATTTACATTTATTGAAAGATTATCTAGTATTTAATCGAAGGATTTGAAAAGAAAAAAATATTTGACAAAATTCCCACTTGAAAAGATTCCCCGGAAAGTGCCCCCTGGAGGTTCTATCCAAATTCCGCCGGAACTTCCAACGTAATTCCGTGGGAATTCCATCGGAGTTCCAAAGAATTTCCGATGGGATTCCTATGGAGTTCCGGCGGAATTCTGACGTAATTCCGACTGAATTAGGACTCTAAAAATTTTGAAAAAAATTAATCGGAATTACGTTGGAAGTTCCGGCGGAATTCTAATAGAACCTCCAGGGGGCACTTTCCGGAGAATCTTTCCAAGTGGGTGTCGACCTGTCAATTTCGTTAAAAAAAAACGGTCGTTTTTCAGATGTAAAAAGAAAACTTTCAAATCAATCCTTTGATTAAAGACTAGATTATAATTTATTAAAAAAGTATGTTAAATTTCAAGACAATCGGTTCAGTAGTTTTCAACTAAGAGTGGTCTCTGACTTCAAAAATGTATTTTTGAAAAAAACGTGTTTAAAGTTTTAACTTTCATTTACGTAAAGATGAAATTTTTTTTTGAAAATGAGATAGAATCATCAATTTCGGGTCCATATAATAGTTTTTCCGCAGATGAAGCTGCTTCTAAAATCTCAATTCAAATATAAAGGTATAAAGACCCACACGGCCGTTAGTCAGTTCTCGACCGACCTGACGCGCCTCCCTTTCAGACTGTATATCTCATTCAATTTTCACCGAATCATCTTAAAATTTTGTAGACATATTTCTGCCAACATATACTCTAAGAAAATGCAAGAAAAAAAATTAATTTTTTGAAAGTTACAACTGCAAGTGCCCCTTTAAAAATATTCCAAATAAGCAGTTGAGCTACGGTGCGTCTGAGTTTATGATTGCTGTGCAGTGTGGAGTCCACAAATTTGATTTAAATGCAAAAAATTGAGATTCTTCACATTTAATACATAATTTATTATTAATTGAACTAACTTTTAAGTGGAAATAGTGAAAAATTGACAGTAGTTTGAAGTTAATGTTCGATTAGAATTTTATCAGAATTCAACGTGTTAACTGAATGTGTGAAATCTTCATTGTGCGCGTTGTCAGCTATCAGGTGTTTTGATCAAAATTATACTAATACATTTTATTAACACCCTTTATACAATTGCCGCTAGATGGCACCACCTGTATAAAAAACTAAAATCACAATCTCAGACATAAAATTAATTCCCTTCACATTAACTCCTTTTGCTTCAACTTCAAAAAGATGGGGAATTTATAGAGTTCCCCATTGCCAGTTAATATCTAATTCACTTTTTTTACAGTGTGAGAGTTCAATCTATTTGATTAGATTTGCTTGGAAATTTCGTTTTATTCCAAATCTGGCTGATGGCTTACATTTATTCTTTGCATTCTTTGACTGCCCTCTACTACTTTTGAACCATTTTTAAATTACTCACTATTTCTTTTGACAAGAATAACATTAATTTTGATCTTCTGTTTCCGGTAACATGTACGTATACCTTACACCCGCATCTTGTTTTAACTATATAATACAAGATCTCCACTAACATTGACATCAAAATAAATGACCTCGTTTTGCCGCACTATATAAACAAATTTATCAATAATATGAATAATAATTATTGAATTAAAAATTTCATAAGCATTGTTCAATTATTATTTGTATATAATATAGTGAAGGCGATCTAGGCCTTGTTGATGGCGACAGGATTATTCCTGGTATTTGCAGAAATAAAATAATTTTAATTTAAATAATATTGTTTTCAATTTGTTATGTATATACATGCGTTTATATATATATATATATATATATATATATAAAGTGTTTTAATAGTGTATATTGTGTACATTAGCGACCCCAAAAACTCAGAAATAATAAGTTTAAATGAAATCCTGTTAATTTTTATCATTTTTGGTCGCCATATTGGATTCGCCATTTTAAATTTTGGAAATCTAACATCGGATTCGTAATAAGCGATTCCAAAAACCCCCTAATAGAAATTTTCAAGCAAAGCCGATAATTAAACAAAAATCCGCTATTTTGAATTTTGAAAAAGTAACATCGTATTCATAATCAGCGACCCTAACAACTCACGTGTAACAACTTGTAACGGAATCCGGCTAAATTAAAAAATTTTTCTCTGGCATATTGGATTCATCATTTTTAATTTTTGAAATCTAATATCAGATTTGTTACTTCCGAGTAACAATTTTCAAGTGAATTCGAAACTTATTAAAAAATGTATCCTTCGTATGTAAAATTTTGAAAAAATTTTGGCTTTTAGGCACTATTTTAAATTCAAAATCAATAAATATCATAAGAAACAAATTTTTAAAGTTTAACTATCGGAAACACGTTTTTGGTATCTTAGATAACAGTAAAAAAATGATATCTCTGAAAAAACCCCAAATTCCAAAATCTTGTATTTTTTGAGTATTTTTGGAAATAAGAGGTAAATGTGATTTTTTGAAAAATATTGACCATGTCATTTGAAAAAACAGTCGTAAATGTTCTTTCAGAATTTTTCTTTTTTTAATACGATATTGAAATCCAAGTGAAAAATCAGCACATTTGATCATCATATAGGGTTAAAACATTTAATTTTATTTTTTTAATAAATCTTTTCATTAATTGTATAAGAATTGTCATTTGATTAATTGACATATTTATTTAGTTATATATATATATAATTTATAAATACATATTCTTTTGTTGGTCGAAATTTATAATTGACTTGTCCCTTTCGTCCGATGAATAAATCCAACGCAATGGTACTGACTTTATTATAGCAGACCAATGGTAACGATTAATCTGTAATTCTGTACTAAAGCGTTGTTCCAGAAGTCGTGTAGTCATACTTCAGTCCTAGCTGGATAATGTGAACGTACGGTCTCGCTATGATGAATCAAAATACATTTTCTTTTATCAGTGTAATTTTTTTCATTTTTTTCACCAGTTTCACATTAATTGATCATCATGTTTATGCCGCCGGATCTTCATGTGAGTGAGGGAAATGATAATCAAAATTCAATGCTTCAACATTATGGATAACTGAGTGTGAAAAGTGGATAAATATCTTTTTTTTCTAATAGCATATTCCATAAAAATTGATAGGCAGATATTATTTTTTGACACTTTTGTTATAAAAATTAAAAAGCATTTTGTCAATTTCATATTTTTCAATAGTACTTTATATGATGGAAAATGAATTTTTATACTATCCATGAAACAGTTATTATTTATATATGACATAAAATATATTAAGTAGAAAAAAAAGATTTGGTGTTTGCCGAAAAAAATAGTTTTTGATACCAGCCCAAAATTTTTTTTATTAGTGCTCTGCGGAGAGATTGAATATTTTTTAGTGGATTTATTAAAATATTAAAAATTGATAAGAATTATTTAGTAAAGTCAAGAAACTTTTCATCCTCAGAAATATTTTTAAACAAAACTTTTATATGTGCTAAAATTTCTCTGAAATTAGAACTTTGGGATTAAAACTACTTTTAATATCTGATAAGAATGATTTTAAATTGTATTTTTTTAGAATCTTCATATGAATATTAAAAATCATATCAAAACGATATTTTACGTCTTAATTTTAACATAGTGAAAATGACGTTTTTAATTGACTTGTACTAAACAAATGTTGTTGGATATTTAATTTCATCGAATTCAAATAGTTAATCAGGAACGAAGCTATAAGTGTCGATAATGTACAAAACTTCCGCACTAGTTTGTCTAGCCACGACCTCCATTCGTCTTTCGTCGTCATTATAACGCACGAGATAAATTCACCGGTATAGACTAAAGCTTCAGACTCGACTCTCGCAAAGTACTCCAGTTAGGTATGACCGTTTATCCACTTACGAACCCCATTCAAGTTTCAGCTTCTCGCATATACTCTTACATGTATCTTCTCTTCTATTGTCTTTTAGTTCCAATGATTATAGTGTAATCCAATATTTCGTTAATTTTCTTCAAACAACAATAAACGGATAAAATTGTTCTTCAGTTTCAATTTTTTGTAACAACTTTTTCTTGACTTCTATTTGTTATAATCTCATCAAGCAACAATGTTATTTTTATTTTAATTGTTTTTATCTATTTTAAAAATATTTTTTATTCTTTTAACACCGTTCAGTTGTTGATGAACTTCTGAAAAAAGTAGTTTCAAAGGATATTGATCGAAATATATTTTTTTATCCTCATTTCTACAAATTTCCTTCAGTAAGACTATATGATAAATATGAAGCCTTATATCATCTTCATAAGAATTCCATTATTATGTCCTAAATTTTTAATATTGTTAATTTTTCCTATGCTAGAACTTATAATTATCCCCTAATCTAATTCCTTAATTTAACTTAGTTAAATAAACTAAGTTGGGGAGAGCCCCGGGATGAAAAATGTAGGTATTCCAAAAGTAAACTTGAGTCACATAGTATTCGAATAAGTATTTCTCCATGCCAAAGGGTAGACTGTGGAATACTTTGACAAAAATTACTAAAGTAAACTGATGGTATACTAAGATCTACCACATAGAGAGGAGAGTATACCGTTCGTATACATTGGGATATTATATGAATTTTTCCAAATTATCTTGTAATGTTCTCCAAAGATAGAGTTCTAATGGTGTCTAATAGATGTCGCATTGTCATATAGACAAAAATTCTTCTTAATAATAAATGTGAATAAAAATAAATAATATTAAATGATAATTAATTTATTCATTAAATATTTTTTGATACATATAAACACCAAATATACACAAAAATTTTTTCTTAAATAACATAATTATACATAATATATAATACTTAATTATTTAATATACAAGTTAAATAAATAAATAGATAAACATAAGGAAAAATAACTATCTGAATTAAATATTTGAAGCGATAAGTAATATGGTATATCCTTTATAAAACTCATAATTCCGTACCTGAAAAAAATGTCAACTTTAAGTTGCATTCTCATCAATGATATATTTTAATGTTATTAAATTATTTTTTATAAAAAATTTTTTTGTTATAATATTTTATACAATAATTTATTAAATAAACTATTACAATTGGCAGTGAATACAAGGTTAACATTTATAATATTAATATGATATTACCATATAATATTTAATAAAATATAAATTTCTGGTTAAGTAAATAAAAAATATATGAAAAACTGATTTGTTTATAATTTTTTCACCATATGATTTCGTACCATTTGATGGGTAATTTGTCATTAATGAATTGTGTCACTTAGTGCAGGATTTTTTTAGTTAAAGAATTATCTTACACTTCAAATCATTTCGTTGAATAAAAAACTTTAAATATTACATTAAAATAATAATTAATAAATAAATTCTCAATAAATTCTTCACTTAAACTCACTTACTACCGACTGTAGGTTCCCCTTCGTTCCTGGCAAATGCTAGAAAGCAACTGAAAACTTGAAGGTCTGCCTTAGGAAAATTTTTGAAAAAATACTAAACATTTAAAAACATTTTCTTCGTCTCTTTGCATCTTCAAAATTCACACATTTTCTATCTAAATAAATCTATAAGAAAAAAACAGGTATCGAAAAACTCATAAAATACGACCTCTTGCATCGAGAAACCCTTGACGGGTCATCCTAATGCAAACCAACGTTGGTCTTTGAACGGCAGGGATCCTTGGTATATATGTTTTAGATTCCACTCCAGAAACTAAATTTTTGTTGAGTTGTTGAGTAATGATCGTAAACTTTTAATTGCCGAATTATCACACATTTAACTCACTGCTACTGCCGTATACACTTTTAACAGCGAACCGTGTATATTTTGTAACTGCGTTGATTTCTTCATTGATTTTGACTAATCTCAATGGAAAAGGTTTTCCTTTGTATGGAAAAATTTTTTGTGTAAATCTTTCGATGGTACCAGCTAGCCTAGGCAGATTTTTTCTAGGACGGTACCTCATCGATGTAAAAAGGATTGGTGACATTCTTCTCAATAGTGATGGCTCACGCATATAGTTCTTCTATTTGAAAACTATATTTAAACATTACATCTTTATTACATTCAATTAAATCATTATTATATTATTTAAAGCATACAATACAAATATGATATAATACAAAAATAATATTAAACCCAGATAAAAATTCCTGAACAGGATCCTTAAAGGATCCCTATAGGTTCCTACGTAGGATCCTACGCAGGGTCCGTTGCTGGATATTGGAACAGGAACATTACTTACTTTGGTTCCTCTGCAGGTTCCTTTGTTTGAAAGTTTAAACAAATTTTCAAATAAAAATTCCTGTATATGAACCTCTACAGGATCCCATGCAGGAATCTTTGTTCCTGAATGCTAACAACTTTACTTGTTGCGCTTTATTGTATTTAAAAAAATACACGCTGAATCCTGCGTGGGATCCTATTATGGTTCCTAAAAATACAAATGTTCCTGCACAGTTTCCTGTACAAGATCCCTATTCCAATATCCTGCAACGGATCCTATGTAGGAACATTTAGGGATCCTTTAAGGATCCTGTACAGGAATTTTTAGCTGGGAAAACATTATTAGTTTACATAATTGTTGGTTTAGATGCCTAATATTTATAAATAATTGTTTACTTACAAGTATTTATTTATTTACATACGTTAAACTAAGATTTCCTATACCTACTTCGTTTTTAAAATCGAAAAAACATTCGAATTAGGATTCAACGTGAACTGAATGTGTGAAATCTTCGTTGTACATTGGCAGAATCAGATGTTTTAATTAAAATCATACCAATACATTTTATTAACACCCTTTATACCATTGCTGCTGAATGGGACCACCAGGTTTAGCGATTTTTGATAATAAAAATATAGCCAAAATCATATCAAAAAATTTACTACTTTAGAAAGATTATATCTAGCAAATGATTTAAGATTTAATTTTATAAACTTTATCATATATAATTTACAGTTACACCATTTTGGAACGATACGTGGACTGATAAATTGAAACGAGATCTTCTTGTAAAATATGACAAATTCGCAAGACCTGCACATCATTTCAATTCAACTGTAGTCACTCTTGACATAGAAATCCATCATGTATCATTGGCAAGTTTAATTTTTTTTTATAAAGATAAGAAAGAATTTATTTGATATTATAAAAAGTAATTTTTTTTAAAGACAAAAACAAAGAACCTGGATTGAGATTATTTTTTAGAAACGTTTGGAAAATGTAAGAAAAAAATTATTTAGTGCACAACTATATTGTAGATTGAATAAAAATTAATCATATGCGGTCACGAACTTATCTACTTTCAGGATAACAAGAAATATTGAATTTCAGGACGATATGCAATCAGTTTTGTCCGTTCACTGCTTTCTGAGAATGGTAAGATAGGTTTTTTTAATAAAGAATTAAATTGTACATACATAGTAGTATTAAAGACATAAGTAAACTATTCTCAATTCTCAAAATTTCTGATACAATCAGGCTTGGAAGGACGAGAAATTAAAATGGAATGCTTCCGATTATGGAGGACTTAAACAGGCTCATTTGGGCATCCACGAAGTCTGGCAGCCCGATGTGGTTTTATATAACAGGTCAAATATTTAACAGAAATAATATTTATTAAAAGTACAAATATATTAAAGATCAAATCCTCTGAATATTTGTACACTAGATAATAATATTCAAAAAACTATAACTATTTTCTAGAAGAGTTAATTATTTTGATATAGTAAAAGATTTTATTTCAGTGTGGTCGTGAATGCAGTCGAACACTATGGAGACAGCCATTGCATTGTGGATGATGATGGAACGGTTTTTTGGGTTCCACCAGCTCAATTTCTTGCTTTCTGTGATTTGGATTTAAGATTATGGCCCTTTGACACTCAATCTTGCTCTCTTAAATTGGGATCATGGACATATTCAGGCGATCAAATCGATTTACATCTTTTTAAGAAGCCTATGAAGGTGGAAAGTTGCTTTCTTCAATTTATACTGCACCTCGTTTTAATGTATATCTTTTATGTATACCGCATGCTCCAAAAGACTTAAGAAAATTTTATAATACATATTTTCAATGCAAAATGTTGTACACTCTGTTTACAAGGGAAGTGGAAAATCTGCATAGTCTAAAATCTAAAATCCTTACTGTTAACATATGTGGGAATGACTGGACTTATTCTGGACGACTAACCATTAGTTTATTCTTTTGGTTAGGCCACTTTTTACTCAAATTTGTAACATAAGACTTCATGGATCCTCTTTTGCAATCGATTTCACTCTTTCTTTGGACTATTTTTTGTCTTAATGATATTTTGCTTCCTTGAGGACTGATTTGAAGACTCCACGCCTTACAAATTTTACAGAGTAATCAATTATATCTTTCTTATACCGCACCTAATATCTCCTAGAAGTTTTTCGAAATGTTCTGTTCATCCGCTGTTCTTGTAGTTTGTAGACTTCAGCTTAGTTAGAGCTTCTTCAATGAACTGGTTTGTTATTCCATAGCATAAATGCTCTTTCAATCTGCTGGACTTAATCCGAATTATCCAAATTGCAGATTTTATGCCTTGCCACGGTTCCTTTGATTAGGTTTTTCTAATAATGACGTAGACTATTCTTTACGGTCTGCTTGATAATTTGTCTTTGTCTCCTGCAGCTCTAGATCTCGCGAATAATCTGAAACCGGATTATCTAGATCAGAGGGTTTGTGAAATTCAACGGATCCTCCGATTAGGTCTTTCTGACTATTCCTTATGTCGCCGTGGCGTTCTAGGCTTTAGAATAGGTCACCTGCAGCCCACTGCATGTCGTAAAAGGCAACTAAAAGGGGCACGGTAGATCGTACCCTTCTAGCTAAGTACCGCTTCAACGGAGACTCTTCTGGAAGCAGGGTGAGATCAAGGTCTGAGACTGGAGTATGGAAACAGATACTCCGCGTGGTCTCCGCTGGAAGTACACGATTCTTGTCCTCCCTAACTCATGCCCACTCCTGTTGGGGTGTTATCGGGGTCAAGATGACTGTAACTATCTGCTTTGCCATTTCATTTGGCACTCTCTTCTTGCACTCTAGACATTGTCTAACTTGTAGGGAAAAAAAGAAGACATCACAAGAAATTCTAAGTCGTTATAAGCATTTTTTTATTCATAATGTACCTTATGGTCAAAGTAACTAGATAATTGACATAGTTTCATGTATCATCTGGAATTATAGTTCTATTGTTTTATGTTCTGCTTGAAGATTTATCTGACTTTATGCCATTACTCCTGCAGGTCTAGGTCTCGGAAATAAGCTGAAACCGGATTATCCAGATCAGAGGTTTTTTGTCATACGTTCAGTGTAATACCAAATTAATTTTTACTCTGTAGGTTTGATTTCCAAAAACTTCTGAAGGATTCCCAATGACTCTCATGTTTGATTTCCAGATTGAGAAGCCCCCTGAATACGACCAAATTAATCTAGAATTCATCTAAAAGCAGTACAAAAATCATTCAAAACAATTTAAAGTTAGTCTTCAGACAAAAACATACCCCAAACAGGAGAGTAGAATTTTCATAATGATTAATTAAATGAGAAGCAATGTAACATCAATTCTTATTGATTTGAAATCAGTTCTGTCGATAAAAAGAAATCTGAAAAATTCCTTAAACATTCTGCTATTTGTTTAATAATTTTATTGTAATAAATCAAATAAATTTTATAATCATGATCATTTATCATTCGGTAATATTTATTGTACATAAACTTCTTGAACGAATTTGAAATTTTAGCCAGACCTTCTAATTACGAATACAGAATGGAAATTGGAGGAAATGACCAGGGGACGTACTGTCGTTCACTATGAATGCTGTCCAGAACCATATGTGACCTTGGTCTTCAATTTGACATTGAAAAGAAATGCTTTGCTTTATTACAACATCATTTTCACGCCTACCATTCGTAAGTAATTTCACTCTAATAATAGATATTCGTTGAGAATTTGTAATTATTTTTAACTGTTCACGAATAATATAAATTCTTTTTTGCAAATTATAAAAATTTCTTTATAAAAGAAATTTTTTGTAGTATTCTATTTTATTAATATTTTACAATATTATTTTTTTCATTTTTTTTTAAATTTTGTTTCAATACAGCAATCGTTTTCCTCACACTCATTGCTTTTTGGTTGCCTCCTCAAAGCGAGGTAAGAATAGCAGTAGCTGGATGCACAGCTCTGATAATTTCGATATTTTTAATCTACTTTGGCTTTAAAATACCGCCGGTTGCTGAAAATTTGCCTCTCATTGGTAAGATGAATAAAAATTATTATTTAAATATATTGATTTTGCATTGCATTATAATTTAAATTGTTTCCTATTCAAAATATTTTCAGTAAGATTTTATAGCGGCAGTCTCTATCAGGTGACAATTTCTCTAATAATTTCAATAGTAGTTTTGAATTTATCAAAAAGAACAAATTGTACTCCAATCCCTCGGGGAATTAGGAATTTTCTTATGGGATGGCCAGGATTTTACTTAGGACTCTCAGATCACATTTATGCGGTATTTATTAAATATTTTTTTAAATACTTGTAATCCAGTAATAATAATTTTTTAAAATTATTTATTTTTTTGCAAAAGGCAGAATAATTCCCCGCTCTGCCTCAAAAACATCTTTGTAATGAAATGAATTTTGTGTAATTACAGTTTAACATTTTCTCACCTATAATAGGTCAATTTGTTTGTAAAGAAATACACTTTCATAAGGTTAAATTAGTTTTTAAGTTAAGAGGGCACTCGCAGTCGTAGAGCCAAAAAATTGATATTTTTCACGAATTTTTTTTCTCGTAAACCATTAAATTTTTTCAAAATATCCTTCCAAAATCCCAATTCAAATATATATAAAGGTATAAAGACCCACACGGCCGGAAGCCTGTTCTCGACCGATTTGACGCGCCTCCCTTTCAGTCTATATATTTCATTCAATTTTCATCGGATCATCTTAAAATTTTGTAGATATATTTCTGACTACATATACTCTAAGAAAATGCAAGAAAAAAATCGATTTTTTGAAAGTTACAACTGCAAGTGCCCCCCTTAAATTAAGATTTCTAATATCTACTTCGTTTTTAAAATCAAAAAAACATTCGAATCAGGGTTCAACGTAAACTGAATGTGTGAAATCTTCGTTGTGCGTTTGCAGAATCAGCTGTTTTGATTAAAATCATACCAATACATTTTATTAACACTCTTCATATCATTGCCACTAGATGGCACCACCAGGTTTAAAATATTACGAACTCACTGTTCTGCCCCATGTTCCTCTAATTTAATTTAATTCCTCATATTATGTTGCAAAAAAAATATTTATTCTCAGATCCAACAACATAGACCAAGTGGTTGTCAAGAATTACGAGAAAGTCACGTGGGAGATATTTCAGCCTCAAGTTTATCATCAAATGGCTTTGAAGACTGTGATCGAGAAAATATAATTACACCTGAAAAAAATGTCAATCAACTTGAGTGGATTTTATTAGCCACTGCACTTGATAGAATATCTTTTTTCGTCTTTTGTATTATATTCAGTATCATGGCATTAGCATGCATTGCATAAAATTTGTGCTGTGAGAAAATTATAATAAAAATACTAAAAAAAAAAAAATTCACAAGATCTCAAAAGCCAACATTAAAAAAGATTTGATAAATTTTTAAGTTTCTATATAATTTTATTTAATTTTTTTAAAAGAAAACACTAATTATCGTACCTTGAAAATTAAAAAAAATATATTTTAAAGTACATCAAATCTATTCACAATGTTGAGCTCGCCGTTAAAAATATAAATTTTAAACATTGACGTTAAAAATAAATTATTATTTAAAAATATATAATGTAAAATAATAAATATTTTTACCAGGGCGAAATACAATTAAAATTTCCTTATTCGTATAAAAACAAAATTTATTTATACTACTTTTCATTCTCTTATTATTACAATATTACTAATTCGATGAATTATCTTTTTTTTTAAAGAACAATATTCATTTCTCGAAATAAAGTCATTATTTTATAATATATCTATATTCTTCAATTCTTATTTTAAAAAATTTTATATTTCCTTTACAAAAAACGGTGTACAATTTTATTAATTATATTATAAAAAAATGATACATTAAGTTTGAAATTATTTCCATCTTCTTTAGTAGGAAAAAATATTAGCTTCTTATACTTTATGAAAAATAAAGAGAATTTCAGTCTTAAAAACAAAGCTAACAAAAATCAAATACAGAAATGGTATAAAGCTATAACAACAAAATGTAATTTCTCAAAATACCCTGAGAATCGTAGACGTAAATATAATAATGTAAGAAAAATAAAATTTTAAGAAAACCAAATGACATTTTTCTTAAAATTTAACCTTTAGAAAATTGTCAATTACATATTTTAATAAAGTAGAAATATTTTTAAAATTCATATAAAAAGAATATGCTATTTTTGCATATACCTAAACTGTCAACATTTTATTTGGAAAAAATTCTTAAATTTTTCCAAAAATTCAATTAAGATATCCTATTAATATTTTTTTATTGAGTGGAACAATTTTCTTGTTTAACATTTTGTTATACTTAACAATGAACCACTGATGGAAGAACGTGAATATAATATATTTCAAAAACAACTTTTATAAAATAAGACTATTTCTATAAAACAATATTTTAAACCCTTTAGTATACATTTTTTGGACGTAAGCGTTATTTTATTGTAAGCTTATAAGGCAAAGCTTTTCAGTTAATTTTTTTTTTCTTTGCTTTCACAATATTCTTTGAATAATGTCAATTCGAAATTATTGTCTAGTCATTATACTTAATAGCTAATTGATTTAAAACCAAATCTCCACTTATTCGAATAGTATCGACTATCGTTGGCAGCATTCGATGCTTAAATTCACCAATCATTTTACTTCCCAACCAAATTGTATAAGATTCAAATTCAACACGAATCCTTTAAATAAAAAGATATTTATTATTTTAAAATTTATTTCTTGATTATTAATTATTTTATTCAAAAATAAATGAAGGTATTTTGTAACAATTCAAAAAATACATTACGTGAGTAAAAATTCGCGTCCAGGACGCCATGAGAGATGTCCTTCATGTCTTTCTTCATGGGACCATTTTCCTTCTGTCCAACAATTCAAAACAACACAAGCAGGTGCATTGCCATAATGAAATCTTGGATTAATATGTAATGCAATTTCTGGATGAGGATATATCAAGTTTCCTTTCTGTAAATTCACGTAGAACCTATAAAAAATTATTGCAGGTTGTAAAATAAATAACTCAGGAAACCGTTTTGATTAAAATGTGGTAATTAATAAACGTTAGGCACACGAGAGTTGTAAGAGCAAGATCTATAAGAGTCCCTGCCGATGGTTGTCCGCTACCAAGAGTCTTGTGAATTCTGGGTAGACCTTATCGTGGTGGTGTGGCTTTTCACTAAAGGACTTTCAAAAACCAAGATGTATAGAGGGGAGAAATATATATATATATATATAGAATTCAAAGGATTTAATAAGGACGTTTCCCAACGTCTTTCCCCAAGGAAAGAAGAATCTAAGTTCCTTCTGAGGATCGAAGAGGGGGTCGTCAAGATGGTGAAATCTTGCGACATCCAGAAGACCGTTAATCGAACGATCAAGGATGGATTAAAGGTTCTTCAGGACCTTGTAAATTTGGCGAAGCAGAAGCACGAAGAAACTGATAAAGGGGATGTGAAATTGAACTCCACTTTAGGAAATGCAGTAAGTAACCGGGTGAACCGGACCAAGAAGAGAGAGCGTATCCATGAGAAACGTCTTCGACGGGCGAGCATGGAGGTGCAAAAGAAGAAACAAAGTACCTGCAGTCCGGAAGAGACAAATGCCGAAGTAAAAAAGAAATGGGAGGAAGCAACTCCATAGACGAAGGATGCCAAGGTGACGGAGGCAGCGAAGCCGAACCAGTCCATCAAGACGAAGGATTCGAGAGGATCAACAATGGTCGTCCGAGTCGCTTCAGGTAAGACGTATGCTGATATATTGGGAAAGCTCCGCAAGGAAGTTAATCCTGACATCAGCCACACGAGAGTCTTGGTGGCAAGGCCCACTAAAAAGGGAGACCTCTTGATCAGGGTCGAAGGTGACTCGGACAAGGTAGGTTTTATCGCCAAGGTGATCAAAGCTGTTGGCAGCATTGGCAAGGTGCAGATGGTGGATCGGAAGGTTACACTTGAGATCCGCGACCTAGATTTCCTTACCCATGAAGCAGAAGTTCAGGAAGCGTTGGAACGAGAACTCGGAATGGCAGGAAGCAGGAAGGTGACGGTCTTAGGACCCAACAAGCGACGGATGAAGCTGGCAGTTGTTGTCACCGACCAAGAAGAGGCTGCCGGACTGGAGGAATTGGGGCGCATAAAGATTGGCTTTATGTGCTGCCAAATAAGAAACAGAGTCATGGTCGTCCGGTGTCACCGATGTCTGGGTTACGGCCATCTAGCAAGAAGCTGCAAAGAAGCAGACAAATCGAGTGCGTGCTTTAAGTGCGGGGAAGCCGATCATAAGTTTGCAGATTGCAAGAGCAGCATCAGTTGCTTCTTGTGCAAAGCAGAATCTGGCGACAAGGTTCCTCTAAACCACGTCGCTGGAAGTGGGCATTCAGAGTCTTTAGGTCAACCCTCGAGGAAGCCAAGAAGACTCACAACAACCAAAGCCAAGTAAGCCAGTAAGATTGGCAACGGCAAGGATCGCGATACTTCCGTAGTGTAAGGATTAGTCCAGCCAAAGGGTGTGGTTTTTAGTCGGTTCACCAAAACAAGAACGGTTATCCCCACATAACTTTGGAGCACCGGGCTCCAGGTATCTGCCTTGGATACAAATCTTTATGCAGATCATGAAGATCAACAGTCATTATTAGAAAAAATTTATTAGAGGCGAGGGGAACTTCCAAAGGCACTATCTCTTAGAAAATTACTCCAATCGATTTGAAATATTTTGGGACAATATTCAGGACATATTGAACTATTTTTTAAGCCAAAAAACACGATTTTTTCAAAAGTTAAAACCCACTTAATCCCTTAAAGATTTCTGAATACTCACGAATAAGGAAGTAATTTTAATCTTCCTTGGATGAACAAACGAGATCCATTTTTTAGACCCTTCTTGATATTGATATTTACTGGCAATTCCTAATAAAGAAATAAAATTTATAACCGTCGATAAATTTAAACGTAATTTATGAATCATCACCGAAACTTACAAGATTGTCAGTGAGTAATTCCTCGTCCGTTAATTCAAGTGACCTTGTAGGTTTACATAATTTCGGATCAGGATAAATATTAACAATTGTTTGTCTTGCTTTGATGTCTTCAACATTTCCATCAACTTCTAAGCAGACTATTTCTGACAATGGCATTCTGTAGTGAAACGAACAAAAATGCTCTCCATTAACTGCTATCTGCAAAATTTCATTTTAATCATTCACTATATATTATAGTAGTGGCTATAAATTTTTTCAGAAACGTTACTAGAAATTCGTAAATGGAAAAAAAATTCTTTATAAGAAAAAACATTTTTACTAAATGGTACATTCTGGTCTACAAAAAGGGGAAAAGTATTTTACTGAAGATTACTAAAAGTGCAATACTTTTATAGAAAAAGTGATTCACAAATTAGATACTAAAAATCAAACAAACCTGGAAGTCATATGGTGCACAATAAATGATAAGATGAAAGTAAGCATTTCTTTTGAAAATATAACCGCCTGACAAACGTGGCGAACATGTTTCTTCATTTTGCCAATGACCCTTTACTTTTGTATTTCTAACAACATATCCACGATCCAGTCGTGGATTAAAATGCAATGCTATGTTTCCATTCGTTCTACATGTTAAATTAATAGAAAATCTGAAAATGAATAGTATGATTATAGCAAGAAAATACTATTAATTTTATAAATTGATCTAACACACCTAGATGAATTATGAGGAATATAACCAGTTATGATGATTGCAGTTGTAGGTTTAAGGTCATTTAATTTCAATGGTACTGACACATTCTGAAATTAAGTAATAATTAAGACTTTAATTTTTATTGGCTAACTGTTTATATTTACTCTGGGTCAAAATTTATTTACTCGAGGCGTTAAACTAGAATGATGCATTGTCAAAAACAGAAATATTTTATTTGTATTATAATGTGAAATAAATTTTCTTTTTTTGTAAAAAGATGTTTTGCATACATATAAAACTGTCAAAGTATTGATGACGATACCAGGCTTCATCTTTCATTGAATTACAAAGGTGTAATAATCTAATTTCAATTTTGTCACTCATGTTGTTTATGACAATTTAACTTTTTTGGTTAGCTTTGGAAATTTGCTTGATCCTTATGGAAATATATATATATATATCAGCCTTCAGTTTATTAAAAAATTACATTTTTATTTTATTATTACTCAAATTTTTGAACAATTTATTTAAAAATATGTTTTTTAAATTGAAAAAACATATTTTTAAATAAATTGTACAAAAATTAAATTTTGCAAAAGTTGTATTTATTTTTAATAATTAATAATACTTATAAAAAAAAGTTATTACAAAATACTAATTTAAAATTGATTGTATACTCATGGAAAATAAAAACACTTATATTTTATTCCGTTATACTTTTTAAAAAATAGTCTTAAAGAAAATAATGACATTAATTTATTGTAAGTAAACTGTAACTGTATTTTGATAGTGTGTATGATAAAGCTTCATATTGATCATTTTTAATAAATCTCTTAATAGTAGCATTTTTCCTACTGTTTGGAAGGGTACGAAGGTTTGTCTTGTTTATAAGAAAGGCAATAAATCAGAAATAACAAATTATAGACCAATATCTATTATTAACAAATTTTTCCGAAATATTTGAAAAGTGCATTTATGACTTTGTTCTTGATAAAATTTCTCCTAGTTTGTCTATACCTATATCAACATGGTTTTGTTTCAAAGAGATCAACATCTACAAATCTATTGGTATTCACGCAGGATATATTTAACCTATTAAATGATTATCCACAAGTTGATGTAATTTATACAGATCTATCAAAGGCTTTTGATAAAGTTGATCATACTTTGTTGCTAGATAAATTTCTTACTTTTGATTTGTCTGATAAATTATAGAGATTAATAGAATCATATTTACAAAATAGACCTAATCAGGTACAATAAATCATGGATATATTTCAGAACCTTTCTTCCCGTCATCTGGTGTTCCTCGAGGTTCTAATTTGGGTCCTCTTTTGTTTTCAATTTATATATGAATGATGTATCAATGTTCTTAGGTTGCCCACATCTTCTTTATGCAGATGATGTTAAATTATATATACAACTATTTCCAACTTGAATTCTTGTTTATCTCTTTAAGATGAACATTTTTAATAAATGGTGTTCTGATAATAAATTTGATCTAAATGCCAGTAAGTGTAAGGTTTACCAGAAATTCTTTAATTTTGGAACACCAGTACAAGATTAATGATACTGTACTTGAGAAGGTTTTTAGAATTAAGGACCTACGAGTTACAGTCTTACCTATAATTTATCTTTTAAAGACCATATTAGTGAAATTATTAACAGTGCTACTAAGACCTTGGGATTCTTAATTAGATCATGCAGACAGTTCAATAATAAGTCAACCTTAATTGTACTCTTCCAAACATTGGTTCTAACGATTATGTTAATATTATTTGGTTCTTTGGGTTTTAAAAATATATTGATGCAATTAATCAATGCCACAAGGAGTTTTTAAAATTCTTGGCTTAGAAAGAAGATAAAGTTTATCCTCCTAGAGGAACTGACTTTAAAGTAATACATAATAGGTTTGGAGTTTGGTCAATTGAGAATAGGCAAAAATTTTCAAATATTCTATTTATTTTGAAGCTTTTAAATGGTTTGATAGACTGTCCATATATAGCAACTCCCATTTAATATTTCACAATTTACTATACGTAATTATGCTCCTTTTTATCTACCATCAGTTCTCAATAATCAGTCACCAGTATATCGGATGTGTTCTCTTGGGAGTAATCTATATTTTTAAATGAATGATAACAATATTTACTTATTTTTTATGTCACTTAATGAATTTATAAATGCAGTCCGGAGCTATGTTAATTAAATTAATTTATCAGAGTAATTGCCGATAGTCTACGTTAATTTTATGTATTTTTTTTAGCCCTATAATGGTGTATACTGTTGGGCTTTGTTATTTTCAAATAAATAAAATGTATATATTATGTAGCTATTTCATGATTCAACATTTCGCGTTTATCTCGTGTTTACTCAAGAATCAAAAGTATATATATAAAAGAATTTTTGAAATTTTAGATAAAGTTCCATTAATAACGAAATTTTTTTAAGCGATAATTTTTACAAATTACTTCGTCATATAATTGTCAATAAAATTTCCCAATTAATCGATTATCTATTATTTTTGCAAACTTTAAAAATTACGCTTAGTTTATTATTAACTTTATTTTTAGTACCATTTTTTATTTGGTTTATAAACTCAAAGTATAGTTTATAAATAAATAGGTAAATAATTATAATTTATTAATTATTAATGTTCACTTTCTTTTATTTTTATTACATTATTACGTTCATTTTAATATCAAATTACAATATAATATACAGTATAAATTTTAACAAAATATTTCTTCCGAGTCAATCCGTTTCATTCTGAAGCTTTTTAATTATTTTCAATTTTGTTTTTTTTCTTTCCAAATCAATTCGTTTCATTCGGAAAGTAAATTTTAATCCTTTTGATTCCCAAAATTTCATTTCGAATCAATCCTATTATTGGCTTGAAAACCAATTGATTCAGATTTATTCGAAATTAAATTTCATAATTTAAAAAAATTAAAATTTAGCTTCGCATTGATTCAGAATAAAATTTTAAGATACAAAACGATTAAAATTAGGCTTTGAAATAAAACTTATTGATTCGGAATAATCCGGAAAGAATTTTTTCTTGAGTTACAGGTCAAATAGGAACAATTTTAAATATTTTTGAATTTAATTTAATTTCGCCTATTTTATATTATTCATGAAATATAACAAAATTTCAAGTCTTGAATTTAAAAAATTATTTCAAGTTATAATAAGTATTTTTTTTTAATAGAAAAATGTTTTAAATAACCTGGATTATAAATTATTCTTCAAATAACATTGAGAAGTCACATTCTTCATCATTGATACAATCTTCAACAATATTGTTAACAACACCTGTATATACCATGTATATTAATTGAAATACATATTGTGTGCATTTGTATAACGATATTATATTTTTCACATTAATTATGTTAATTATTAATTAATAAATAAATTAACTGTTCATTAATTAATAATAAATTAATAATAATTACCTATTAATTCAATTAATAATTCATTAATAATAATTACCAAATAATTAATTAATTAATTAATTATTAACGTTAATTATTAACATTATATTTTTTAATCACAAATTTTTTTAACTGTGCATTAAATAATTTAATTATATCTTTAATAATTTTCCACTCTTAAAAAAAAATTATAATTAATAGTAATTAATAATAATAATAATAAATAATTAATAATTGAAATAATATTAAATAAAATATAATAATTATATTTGATTTAATATTATTTCAATTATTTTGTTACTTTACTTGAATGGAACATGTTACACGAAATAGTCCGAAATAATCCGAGATTGTCCGAATTCTCAGTCTGTATAAAGATTGCACTTGAGTATGAAATATATCTTATTACATTTATAACCGCAGAAATACAAAACCTTTTTCACTTTCAAGACAAAAACTATAGTTAAATACATACTTTGTATACACAAAATTAGTATAGTGATTTACGTTAAAATTTTACCGGTAGGAAATAAAAATATTTACACACCAATGCCACTGTTTCCTTATCAAATAAACGAAATTCTTCTAAAGCTTTCTGTCGATTCGTGTACATATTTTGTGTCAAACAGTTTAGAGACATTTTCTGAACGTTTGCCTGTATGTCTATCCACACTGAGTTGCCTAACACTTCCTCTGATACTTCAAACCATTCCATATACCCGGTGATCTTTTAATATTAATGAATAATAATAAGTTCACTTTTTTTTAATTTATTATATATTAACTCGACAAAGCCAATATAAAAATGACTTATACTTACTTTTATATAAATCCTCAACATATATATATATATATATATAGCAAACTATAAACATTTTCATTGATAACGAAACAAATGAAAGTAGATAACAATAATTTTTTTTTCTAAGGAAAATGTAAACAATGTATAAATAAGTTTACTTGTTTTAATTAATTTAGTTAAGAATAATTTTTGAATTTATTTATTTATATATTTTATTAATCATATATTTTTCTATAAGCAAAGCCAAATTTATAAAAATAAGAACAAAATTTTATTTAATATCTGGGACGCATGATCATGTTCTAAAAATCATTTTTTAGAATTTTCATTTTATGGAATTTCATTTGTCATAATTATTTTTGAGCCGAATTTTTATTTGTTCGTATTAGTATTTTGTAGAATTTTCATCAAAACGATTTTCTATATTACAGAATTATTATATAACCGAAAATTTACTTCACCGAATTTTTTTTTGTTCGAATTTTTATTTGTCAGAATTTTTATTTGCTCGAATATTCATTTAACATAATAGGCATTTTAAAGAATTTTTATTGCGTAGAATTTCATTGCATAGAATTTTCTTTCAGATGAATTTTCATTTGATATAATTTCCATATAACCGATTTTTCATACTACAAAATTTTTATACTTAACCGAAAAATCATTTAACAGAATTTCTAATTGATAAAATTTTCATTTGTCCGAAATTGCAAATGGCCGAACAAACAATCGATTTTGGCGCGATTTTGAAAATCAACCAATCACAATTTTATGGTTAATTTTTGATTGGTTGATTTCAAAAATCGCGCCGAAATCGATTGTTGTTTCAGTGATTTGCAATTTCGGACAAATGAAAATTCTATCAATTAGAAATTCTGTTGAATGATTTTTCGATTAAGTAAACATTCTGTAGCATGAAAAATTGGTTATATGGAATTATATTAAATAATAATTCGAACAAATGAAAATTCATCTGAAAGAAAATTCTATGCAATGAAATTCTACACAATAAAAATTCCTTAAAATGACAATTATGTATGTTAAATGAAAATTCGAACAAATAAAAATTCTAGATGTAAAGTGAATTTTCGGTTATATGAAAATTGTGTAATATAGAAAATCGTTTTTATAAAATATTCTAAGTGGAAAATATGATAAAAAAAAAAACGAATTTTCCTTATATAAGAAATTTTAAAATTTCGAAAAACTTTTATTTAAACTTAATGAAGAATTTGATAAATTTTTGTATCATTTAGTAAGGAATCAAATATGTTTACCAAATTTTATAAAATATAACTACATTATAAATTTCATATTTGTATTTTTTTATATGAAAATTTCATATATAACATAATTTTTTATTTTTACCATATTTTCCACGACTTGTAAAATACTTTTATAAAATTTGATATTTATTTTCTTTCATTGTATTAAAAATTTCTTTACATTAATATAAATTTTAACATCAAAAATTTATTTTCATTTCAATAATTTTTGAATTTAGCGCCAGGTATCTATAGTTTTGTGTTACATGATTGGTATACTTGTACTTATACATCAATTACATGATCTCTAACCTCAAAATTCTACTAATTAATTTCATGAATGTAAATCAACTTCGAGAAGTAAAATTTTTTTTTAATTTTCGTTTATTTATGATAAAAAAGAATTAAAAATAAATGTAGTATTTCATTTTAAAACTAATTTTATTTAAAACTCAAAACGAAATAATGATGGAAATGGTATCATTTCTGCTACTACTGCTCAAAATTATAAGGTATTATTATTAATATTATATTGAAGGAAATCTAAAAAAAATTAACAACTTGACGATTAATAACAACGTTTTTATTTCACTAATTCGACATTATGTGCGATACACTAACAGTCAGTTTGATAATTTTGTAAAACCCATAAAGATTACGATTAAAGACTATATATTATAATTCCCTGAAATATTTTTTAAAAAAAATTCATTATTTATCTTTCTGTTAAAGTTATCCATCTTTCGAAGTCAATTCTGATAATTAAATATCAATACAAATATATATAATAACGACGTTTGAGCATTTTTATTCTCATGTAAACTTTAAAAAAATATGCTGCTAAATGTCTATTTACTTGATCTGAGTATATAGTATATAATATGTATTTATTAAGAATGGAGTTTTTAAATTTGGAAGACACTTCCAAATATATAAATTAAAATTATTCCCTCTTTTTACATATATGCAAAAAGAAGAAAAAATTTATTTCCTATTATTAAAATATATATATATATATGTGACGCTCCACGAGAGAAGGGACCTATCCCCGAAATAACATTAGGCTCAGTTTTCCGTGCACCGTACATGAAAACTAAGCCTAATATTATTTCGGAGATAGGTCCCTTCTCTCATGGAGCGTCACAATATATATATATAAAAAAAAAGATATTGATTATTTGAAAAAAAATCTTAAAAACGCATACACATTTAAAGAGTGGAATTTCCTCAGAAAATAATGAAAAAATTCGATGTAAACTATTTCGTTGAAATCTATGTATATAACAATATGTGTACGTCCGCATGAAAAGGGACCACTTTATCGATTACAATAAAGATTATTTTTGCGTGAATATTAATGCAAATATCGCCCTTATGAAAGAAACTAAAGTCGTCCCTTTTCATGCGGACGTACACATATTGTCTATTATTATTATTTTAATGCCAAATTTTCTATTTTTGATTAAGGCGACTAGACCGATTTTAAAGCATGTTTTCGTTATGACAATAAAATTGAGTTTATATATATAAAACAAAATAAACTCGTCAAACGATAATAAAACGGCAGTGGAGAATAATTTTTCTATTAAAAAAAAAAAAAAAATTATATATTATATACAGATTAAAAATAAAAATTGGTAACAAGCCTCTCAATAAAATAAAATGTGATTATTATATAGTAATGATTCCACTGAATCGCTATACCATTAAATCAGGCAGTTTCCTTTTTCATTTGAACGATATCTCAACGACGTCTCGACAATTATGAACAATATATTTTTTTTAAATTCTCTTCATTTAATATCAATCCATTAAACCCAGCGAAGCTTATATAGTGAATAAAATATATATATATTATATTATATGAGATTTCAAAAACGATTTGACTATTTCTATAAGAGAGCTTCGAAGCACAAAAAAATATTGTTGCGAGGTAGACGCAGTGGACGTTCTTTCTTTCTTTCTTCTTTTTCTTATTTTTATTATTATTATTATTATTATCATCAAAGATTCGAGAAAATATTTACATATCACGGGGTTCATGAGGATCGGGAAGTTTTTGCCAATTTGGTTCAACGCCCCAAATTTCACGAGCATACTCTGCAATCGTTCGATCTGATGAAAACTTTCCTGATGATGCAATATTGTGAATTGCCATCTCTACCCATTTTGTCTCGTCCTAAAAATAACAAAAAAAAAAACCATTATTAATATTAATAAAAACTATTCCTTTTTAATTTAAAACAAAAACTTTATAATTTTTTTCATAGAGCTTTTAAATTGATTTTTTTTTGTTTAATTATGTTTTCTAATATTAATTTTCTTAATGTACTTAAGTATATAATAATAATAAATTAATCCTAGACAGTACAACTGGGGTACAAAAATACCCCAGAGAAAATATAAATTACGGCCCTGGCTCTGTAAGCTCAACTGCCATGGCACCCTAACCTTAATTACGACGCTAATTGCGAAAAGTTTTATATGTCTATTGTTCATTTCAGAGAGTTTTCTCATGATTCCTTTTTATTATCACAATTCTTGTGAATCTGAAAGGAAAGTCACCCTAATCTACAACGATTAGATGGTCACTCTTTAATTAGGGTGGATAATGCAACCCACTTCTGGGAATTTGTCTTTCCTCTTTGTGAAAATCCCGTATAAAAGGTCCACATATGCCAGGAGAGACCAGTTCAGATTTTGGTGCACGTCGACTTCAAATACGAAATTTTTTAGAAGTATACTGTTACTCTACCCAATTTTATACTCAAGTTGAACTTAGAAGAATCTTTGTGTCAAGTGTTAAAAATATCTACGTCAAGAAGAACTCATCCAAGTATTCAAGGCTTTGACTTTCCCATAATATTTGGAAATCATCTTTTCATCCTTTTCTGGAAGAATTACATTGTTTGAGTTTTCGTTATCACCTGAACTCCGGACCTGCACTGAGAAAAATCTGTATTCAATTTAATATATTGTATATGAAGCAACAATGCAATACTAGAACTGAAATTTAATATACAGTTTCATTAAATTTAATATAGATTGACTTTAAATTTAATACACTTTATGTTACATTTTATGTAAATGTATATTAAATTTAATGAAACTGTACATTAAATTTCAGTTCTAGTATTGCGCATATCTGCTTCATATACAATATATTAAATTGAATACAGATTTTTCTATCAGTGTGTGATCATCACCAAGGACCGTCAACCTTCCTGTGAGCTCATAAGCATATCTAGTACCAAGCGTTCCTGGCTATATTTAAGAACACTGCAGTGGTCCTTTTTCATACATCTAAATTTTTAAGATAAGTCGTAATACTTTTTATCTAAATCCTTTCTAACTCCTTATAAAAATTTATAGTAACCTTTACATTCCCTGTTGCAGTGGAATGCTGACTTCCTTTATTTCCGAGAATGGTTTCTTCAGGATACTTTCTCTCAAAGACCAATTTTATAACTCTAAATATTTTTCTAAATAAACTTGTAACCTTGTCATTAAAAATCAATATTCTCTTTCTTACATGTACCCATAACGAAGAGCCTTCTGCTCTATAAATGAAACAGGAATAATTCACTGAATCACCAAGCGGATAAAAATAAATATAAAATATTATTTCTTCACTTATTTTCTCTATTTGAGACCTTATAATACCAAAAAAAAAAAAATAATTTTTATGATAAAACGAGTCAAGTGTCAATTTTTCGAAAAAAAATTAAGTAAACTATTTACTTGATAGATGAAAAAACCTCAATTTCAAAAATTAGACTTTTGACCCCTTTTTTCTTTGACAAAAAAAGTATTTTGCTTCCTACCTGATAAATTGCACTGACGCGATCCTGCATTTTGATATAGCTTTCATAATCAGCAAGAAGGAAGAATCTGTCCCACTTGAGAAGAACATCAGCGATATCTTTAAATTCATCAGGATTACTGGGACTAAAGAATCCACTTTGAATTTGATCAATGCACTGTTTCGCCTCAGGCAATTTATTATAATAATCATAAGCATTATAACCCCTCCTCTTCAGATCTTCAACTTCATCGACAGTCATACCAAAGATGAAAATATTATCATCACCCATTTCCTCGGCCATTTCAACATTGGCACCATCGAGAGTGCCAATAGTTAGTGCGCCGTTCAACATAAATTTCATATTACCAGTTCCCGAAGCTTCAGTACCAGCAGTGGAAATCTGTTCACTTAAATCGGCAGCTGGAATAATTTTCTCAGCCAATGTGACTCGATAATTTTCCAAAAAGATAAACTTTAATTTATCACCGACAATTGGATCATTATTAATAACATTAGCAACGCTGCAAATAAGTTTAATGATCTTTTTAGCTAAATGATAACCTGGAGCAGCTTTTCCTCCAATCATCACAGTTCTAGGAACAATTGGAGCCGATGGATCTCTTTTAATTCTATTATAAAGAGTTATGACGTGCAAACAATTAAGTAATTGTCTCTTGTATTCGTGAATACGTTTCACCTGTATAAAAAGAAAAAAAGATTCCCTTTAAGTACAAGTTTTTCTAGGCAATTTTTTTTTTTATAGAAAAATCAAATTATTTTATACATCACCTGAATATCAAAAATGGAAGCTGGATTGACCTTAACGCCATATTCCTTCTCGAGGAGTTCAACTAAACGAAGTTTATTCTCCTGTTTAATTTTAACGATGCTTCTTTGGAAAGCGGGATCTTTGGCCCATTGTTTTAGTTGCTCCAATTGATCTAAATGAACTGCCCACTCACTGCCAATTTTCTACAACATCAATTAAAAATTAAAATATCTAATCAATCGACTCGATGTTCAATTAATTAACACTAATTACCTCTTCAATGATATCGGACAAATTTGGATTGCAAAGCAAAAGCCATCTTCGGGGTGTAATTCCGTTTGTCTTATTTTGGAATTTCTCTGGATTCATCTCGTAAAAGTCACGGAATCTGAAACGATACATTAATTCGTAAGAGTTTTTCTTAAAAACTTATTGATCTTGAGACGGGAAAATATTTCTTGACGTTATTTCGAAAAATATAATGATCAAATATCCTAGAATAATGATCATAGGTCAATAGTTCGCCCCTGTGAACTTATTTCGATCATAGCGCTAATAGTTCGATATATTGTCGCATTATCAAAAACTCATCGGGTTTTACTTATTTCTTGTGTGAACAAAATTATTTTATAAAATTTCTTTGTTCAATAAATTAGTATTCCTGGAAGTCGCTTAATCTTTTATATTTTTGGGTTCACCAACTTCCCTCTCTGTAATGTCTTTTGTTAATTTTAATTAATGAATTAACTGGTGTCCGCGTGCAAATATATTTTTATTTTATCGTCAGAGACCCAGTAACTCTAAACCTTGGGTGTGGAATAGTTTTATTTATTTGTTCTTGTAAATTTTGATCATTTTATTCTTATTTAATTATTTTAAAACTGAAAATTATTCCGTCTTAAGATAAAACAAAAAAGAAAACTTACACGGAGTCTTTCAGGATTTCAGAATGAATTCTCGCGACACCATTAATGGCATGACTTCCAACAATAGACAAATGTGCCATATTGACTCTCTTCTCGCCTTCCTCCTCAACCAATGACATACGACGCATTCTATCTAAATCACCAGGCCACTTGGCAGCGACTTCCTGAAGATGAAGAAAGTTAATATGATAAATAATTTGCAAATGTCTGGGCAGAATGCACTCAAGCATTGAAGTCGGCCATCGTTCCAAAGCTTCTGGTAGTACAGTATGATTCGTATAGGCACAGGTTCTCACTGTAATTTTCCATGCCTGAAACGAAAGTTCAATACAATATTAATAGAATAGAGGGAATTGTATTTTACATCCTGAAAAAAAAAATGAAACAAACCTCATCCCAACTGAGACCCTCAATATCGATGAGAATTCTCATAAGTTCAGGAATTGCCAACGATGGATGAGTATCATTCAATTGAATAGCGACTTTGTCAGGGAATGCATTGAAATCAGTTCGATGATGTTCCCTGGATCCAAATTTACTTGATTTGTAACGACGAATAATATCCTGAAGTGTTGCAGCGCACATAAAATATTCTTGCTTCAATCGCAATTCTTTACCCTCGAAAAAGTTATCATTTGGATATAAAACTCGTGAGATATTCTCAGCCAAATTACGATCGATTACAGCCTGAATATAGTCTCCATCATTGACTAAAAATAGTTCAAAATATTCATTACTAACGAAAACTGATCCTAATAATAATTAAAGGACAAAAAAAAAGAAGAATTTAAAGTTTTAATAAACTTACAGAATTTCAAATTAAATTCAACTGGCGATTTGGCAGACCACAGTCTTAATGTATTGACAACATTATTTTTATATCCAGGAATTGGATTATCATAGGGCATGGCAAAAACGACCTGCGTGTTTACCCATTTTTTGCCTTCGGCAGTATCAATGACGTGACCATAAAAATTAACTGGAAGCATAAATTCAGGACGAGCTTTTTCCCATGGATTTCCATAACGAAGCCAATCATCAGGCTCTTCTACCTGTTCACCATTCTTTATTTTCTGAGCGAAAATTCCATACTCATAACGAATTCCATATCCGTATGCCGCGAGTCCTAAAGTCGCCATACTGTCTAAAAAGCAAGCAGCTAAACGACCCAAACCCCCATTTCCAAGACCAGCATCTTCTTCAAGTTCCTCCAATTCTTCAATATCGAGACCCATCTTTAAAATTTTAAATTAAAATCAGAAAAAAATTCTACTTAACTTAATGTTTAAATTCAATTTAATTAGAAGTTGTTGATAATATTTTCAATTCCTAGTGAGATTAATTAATTATTTAAATTCAATTAAATTTTGAAAATTAATTTCTACAAAATATTCATTACCTGATACATGGCTTCATCACAGGCTCCTTGAATTCCTAAATTAATCATTGTATTTTGAAGAGATCTTCCCATGTAGTATTCCAAGGAGAGATAATACACTCTCTAAAACAAAGGAAACATTTTTCAAAATATTTTCTTTTCAAAATTATCATTTTATTTATTCATTTTGACCATAGTGTGCTAAACTTATTGATTCTTTGTCAAAAAATTAATGTTATGATTACAGGAATAGACCATATTTTAGGAAGAATTTCAAAGGACAAATTGATTAAGTTGGGACGAAGGAAAAAAATGGTTTTTTTATTCTGATAACTTCATTAAAAATTATTTGTTTATTTTACATCCATTTCATTAATGTAAATTAAAATAAATCCACTTCGTACAAAAATATCTTCTTACATTAATCCGATCTATATTACAAAATTAAATTGCTAATTGAAACAATCTTTGAACAATAGTTCACATCACAAAAAATGTAACTTTTTGATTCTTAATTCCTTTTGGCAAGGAAATGAGAGATTTTTTTCAAAAAAAAAGCAAAAGTATTTCTTTAGTTGAATAACTTCATTAAATAAATTTTTAATTTCTCACAAAAAAGGAATTATTGGGACAAAAAATTTTAGATCTACATTTTATTTGAGTTTTAATTTGAAACAAAATTATTTTATTCGAGAACAATCATCAAAAACATGGGGATCTATTTTATTGACCCATAATATTGTTTTTATAAAAGAAATTTTTTATCCTAATTATATATAACTAAAGCAGATTATATAGATCCTAAATATTTTGTTCAATCTAAATAATTTCTGAAGTTTAGAAGCAAAATTTTAATTCATTAAAACGTAAGTTATTTAAGAAAATATGAAAGAGCTAATTCTATCCGAGATGGACGACATTGTAAATATTAGTACCAACTACAGTGGCGCCAATTCTTTTGATTATACATAGCCTTAAATTTCACACACAATATATGAACAAGAGTTTCTTTTTTGGACTGCAATCAAAAATTGTAATGCAATTTAGTTTTGCAAATATTATAGAAATATTATATATTAATATAAATATTATAGAAAAATTCCTTTAACGACATATAATAACATTTAAAATGATCACTAAAAGAAAACTTGAAAGTATATTCATCAAATTTTAGCACGAGCCAAGAATTTTGATGCTTTTAGGAAAGTTTCCAAAATAAAATTTTTTTTTTGGCTTTGCTACAAAAAAATATTCACATTTTTTTTTTAATTTTACAGTCCTTTATTTGAAAAATAAAATAATTATTATTTCATAATAATGGAAACATTTCATTTAGAATGGATTAAAAATTATTTGCTAAAAAATTCAAAAGTATATTAATAGGAAATGCATGATAAGGTTGGCTTTAAATGATAACAATAGATAATAACTAAGCGAAGGATTTTAAATATACAATTTAATCTTAATGACATAGAAAATGATGAATACAATAACAAGAATTCTAAACATTTTACTAATTATCATCTCAATGTATTAATTAATTGTTAAAACTTTGCCAAGAGGAAAACATGTACATTGCACTTTATATTATGTATTTGTTGTCAACAAAATTAATTTTTTATTTTAATTATTTTGATAATCATTGAATTATATTTTGTTAAAATTTATATGTATACAAAATATTAAAAACTACAAAACTTTTAATTAAATAACCAATCAATTTTACAAGAGAAGAAAAAAAGAGTAGAAATGAAATTTTTTAGAATTAAATAAATAAATTCAAATAAACAATTGTTCTTTATATTCTCTTTTTCTTCAGTGAATGAAAAAAATGAGATGTTGATCTATTTTTGCAAGAGTTTCAATAAAAAAAATCATCTAAAATAAATTCAACCCGGAAATGTAAGAGAGAGAAAGAAATAAAGCTCAAAAATAATCTCCATCTCTCAACAATAATTGCGTAATATAATTTGACACACGTTCGAATTGTATAACAGCCAATAATAATTAAAATTAAACTTTAACAATAAAATAAAAAAAATTAAGTATAATAATAAATATAATGAAAATAAAATATTATAAATGCATAATTAATATTTTACGCTAAATATATTGTTTATTCAAATTCCTTAAAAATTAAAAAAAAAATTTTGGTTTTAAATGAAAACAATAAATTTTTACCATATTAATATTTTAATATAATAAAATGTAGATGTATTATTTTAAACAAATCAACTTTTTTCACATATAAGAAAAAAAATTTGTATATTTAATAACAAAAAAAAAAAATTTCTTATTTATCATTTTATTGTTAACATCTTTCAAAGACACTTAGAAATTATCTATAACGCCTTCAAATGTGAACTTTGCATTTAACCTTTCACAATTATAACTATAAAAGCAAATAGACAATAAACAGACAATTTTATATTATTCTCGATCATTTCAAATGAACCCAGAATGATATTGACAAAACTTTATATCGTTTGAGTTTTCAAGCTGACATTTTTATTAAACATATATACATTTTGATATCAGTTATCATGAGTAAACTATTTCAAAAAAATTTTTTTTTTATCTCAAAATCTATATTTGTCGAAAATTTATTTAGTGTTCTATTATTTAATTCAGTTTTTATAAATTTACACAAAACTGACACCTAAAAAAAGAGTTTTTGTTAATTTAAAGAAATCAGTTTCTTTGACTTATTTTAAAATAAATTTTTCTTAACAACAAAAAAATGGTTTTTTAATTCAAAGAAAATTGTTCTATAAAATTAAAGAAATTCTAATATTGACAAAGGGTCAGAGAAAAAATTTTTTTTATTTAAAAATGAAATTTTTTTTTGAATAAAAAATATTTTTACAAAATTTCTTTGAATCAAAGAAAAATTATTTTTAAATCGAAGAAATGAGTCGAAAGAAAATGGTTTCTTTAAAGGAACAAAAACTTTTTGCTATAGATATACTATTTAGTACAATTCAGAAAATTAAATAGAAGAATTTTGAGGTTAGAAATTTAAATAATTTTCATGAAATTACAAAAGTAAAAGTGCTAACCACTTAACACAGTATTGTAGATAATGGCTCTAAATTTAAAAATTGTTGAAATGATTAAGTGTCTATTTATTTCTTTAAGCCTGTTTATTCCTATATTTGAATCAATAAATATGTTTTCTTGAAAGTAAAGAAATTTTAGTTTTAATTGAAAGAAAATTTTTTTTAATGACAAAAACTTCTTTTTTTATGTGATTTACTGTAATATTTTCTCGATTCTATCGGGATATCCGCTGGGGGCGTGGCTTAGCATATTATCCTACGTTCAGTAGTACCATTTATCACCACTATGTCTGAAAGTTACTCTGATTGGTTTAAACTGGACAAAAATTGACAAACATCCTACTTTCAAGGGTTAAAAATGTTTTCAACACACGGAAAAAAAGAAAAAGTAACTTTTACTACTTTAAAAGTAAAATTGGACCTGTCCGAAGTTTCTGCGCATCTCTCGCAACTTTTACTCCAAAAATAGTAAAATTTACTTCAGAAATTGTAAAAATTACTACGGAAACAGTAAAATTTACTACAGAAATAGTCAATTTTACTATTTTTCGAGTAAAAGTTGCCAGAGATGCGCAGAAACTTCGGACAGGTCCAATTTTACTTTTAAAGTAGTAAAAGTTACTTTATTCGTTTTTCCATTTTTCTCCGTGCAGAGAGCGCTTCACAGTAACGGACATCCCAATCAGTGACTGTGTATTATATTTTAAATTTCTAAATATAATTAAATATAGAAAGTAAAAAACTTTTTAAATTAGTGAAAGTTTTTTATTTCAATTCACTCAAAAAGCATACAAAATTGAAATAAAACATTAATTTCAAGTTTAGTTAAGGCCAAAGCAGAATAGCTTCGCGAAAGACGTTCGCGAACGTGAAACATGAGTTAAAAAAGGACAGAGATATATTTACATCCTTTTCTAACTCATGCATCTCGTTCGCGAACGACTTTCGCGAACCTATTCTGCGTTGGCCTTTAGAAAAAAAGTATGAACTTATTGGTATGCCTGCTGAGGGCGTGGCTTAGCATTTCACCCTACGTTCAATAGTACCATTTTTTGCCACCATTTATAAAAGTTACTCTGATTGATGGAAGCTGGATAAAAATCGTACTTTAAATAGTTTTAAAAAACCTTTAACAGAAAGCGTTTCACAGTAACGGGAATCCCAATAGGTTATATTTTACATTGTAATATTCTAATGTAATATAAAATAATACTAAATTCACCTACAGTTTAAGTAATAATTTTGACAATTATTTTAAAACATAATACAAAAAAATACTTTTAAAAACAGTTAATTTTTTTTTTAAATATTAAAAATTTCTTAACATTAATATAATCTATTATTAAATAATCACTTATTTGTTTCAAAAAATTTTTAAATTTAGCGCCATTTTATACAGTTTTGTGCTGCATGGTTGGCATCATGTTGAAGCTATATCATTTTTACTATACTGCAACATAAAATGAATATCGCCTGAAAATTATTACTCAGGGGTTTTTGGGGTCGCTGATTACGAATCAGGTGTTAGTTTTCAAAAATTCAAAATGGTGGATCAAATATGGCGGACAAAAAAAAATTAAAAAATCGTTTAGAGTCGCCTGAAACTTGTTACTCGGGGGTTTTTGGGGTCGCTGATTACGAATCCGATGTTAGTTTTCAAAAATTCAAAATTTCAGGCGACTCTAAACGATTTTTTAATTTTTATTCTCCATATTAAATCCGCCATTTTGAATTTTTGAAAACTAACTCCTAATTCGTAAGCAGCGGCCCCAAAAACTATAAGAACCGCACTTTAGTTTTCTTTTTTTCATTTCTCAGTTTGGCTTGGGTGTGAAAGGGTTAAAAAGTTTCATATATTTGGATTATTTAACAATAAAATTTATGAGCAAAAAAAGAGGAATAACTTAAATACATATTATGTCAATAATTTTCAAATTTTTATTGTTTTTCTCCATTTTCAAAAATTGAAAAACACAAGTTCATTGACACTTTCAAAAAAAGAAACTCGATTGGCAATCTTAGCCTAAAAGAATCACGTGCTAAATAGCAGTAACATTATCGTTTTAGACTTAGACAACATCCAGGGCAAGGTTGTGTACCCTTGATATGTGAAATAAAAGAGATGACCGATCCAAGTGCAAAAACAAACTATTTTTTTTTAATTTTATTTTTTTTTGATCGATCTATAAGATTTAAAATTTCAATTTATCGACATTTAATATATTTATTACAACTTGTTGTTCATATCTTACGAAATTATTAAACAATACAAGGTCAATATGGTCAATAAGAAATATTTATGTTTTATAAACAATACTTCAATAATTTGACAGTTCTCATAAGTCGGATAGAAAAAAAAAGTTAAAAAAAAAAAAAAATAAGATAAATTATATATTGGAATGAAAATTTATTGCTGATAGGAAGTTAAAATAAATACTTCCTCGAAATTCGATTTAAAAATTTTTTTTTTTTTTATCAGCTTGAAAGTGAAGAACTTGATATTCAATGGAACATTCTATTAATATGTACTTCTTGAAAATGAAAGTTTAGTCACATGTTTTTTTTTTTTGAATATATGCAGTTGAATTCGAAATTTGTTCCACTTTTACTTATTTTATTAAATTTTGTTTTAGAGAAAAAAAAATGGTATAGTCTTTAGTCTCAAAAATTTAGGCGACAATTAACAAACAACTTTTCTCTTCCTTGATACTTCTAAATTTAGATCGATGTCATATTGCACCGTGTCAAAGTATAACATCTCAAGACGGGAATTTTTTTTTCCCTAAAAAAAAAACCCTCATTTTCTTCCTTTAAATACAATTTTCAAAAATAAACTGTTTTCCCTTTTTAAAAAAATTAATTTCTGCCTTAAAATACAATTTTCAAAAATAAAACTGTTTTCTCTTTTAAAACATTTTGCTTCCTCATAAAGATTTTATATTTATTTACTCTCTAAATTTGAATCAGTGAAAGTCAAATCCGTTGCGAAATTCTAATGGGTTTTCACTAATAGTAGTGAAATTTCACTGATTCAAATAGTTAGAATTTAGCGACTGGTTGGACATTAGTGATTTATTTACTGATTCAAATGTAGAGAGTATGAATCATAAGTTTCATAATGATATCAATTAAACTAATTTAGAAAATTAAGTTCCTTATTTAAAAAATACATAAATCAAAGCATGTTTTAAAGCATTATATGTAACTCAGTGATGATATATTAAGAATTAAAACAAGAAATAAAAATTAAAACTATAACAAATTGCACTTCTTTAAAAATTTTGAAGTTTATATATATATATATATATATATATATATATATATATATATATATATACTGCTTTTTAATAATATTGTTTATTTTTCTGTTTTTCTTTATTGTTACATGGAGAAAAATGGAAAAACGAATAAAGTAACTTTTACTATACTTTAAAAGTAAAACTTGAACTGTCCGCAGTCTTTGCGCATTTCCGTCAATTTTTACTCCAGAAATAGTAAAATTTACTATTTCCAAAATAATTTTTACTATTTTTGGAGTAAATTTTACTATTTTACAATAAAGTAGTAAAAATTATTTCGGAAATAGTAAATTTTACTATTTCTGGAGTAAAAATTGACGGAAATGCGCAAAAACTGCGGACAGTTCAGGTTTTACTTTTAAAGTATAGTAAAAGTTACTTTATTCGTTTTTCCATTTTTCTCCGTGTATACTTAGCACGTCTTAAAATGTAACTATGGATATTTAGCGGTGTTAGATAAATTGTTGATATTGTAATTAATAACGTTATTAATTTTGCTCAGTATTAACTTTCTTGATTATTAATGTTATTTCTAAATATTATTTTATGTGAAATATTATAATATGCTCTCTAAATCTGAATTAGTAAAAATGTTTACTAATTTGAATTAGTGACTCATTTTTTGCTTCTGAATTAGTAAAATTTTACTAATTATTAGTAACTTTTACTAACAATTAGTAAAATTTAACTAATTCAGAAGCAAAAAGTGAGTCACTAATTCAAATTAGTAAACATTTTTACTAATTCAAATTTAGAGAGTGTACTGTTTCTTCGAGGGCTTTTTAGCACTAGAAACTTCAAATATTTAAATAAATAAATAAATAATTTAAGGTCGTAAATGATTCAAAAATAGGTCAATTTATGCGTTTTTAAATGTACTTTAATTGTATAATTTAAATAAAATGACAAAGATTTTTTAAATAAAAAAACTTTGAAAAGTAATTTTTTTTATTCCAAAATTTTTGATTTTTTTAAACGCTAATAAATCTGAATCAAATGAATATGTTAAAATGTTGAATTTAGAAAATTTTTGATATTACAATACTTCCTTCATGAGAAAGTAATATTTCCTCAAGGTGGACATAATCAATATTACAATAATATTACCCCAATAATGTGTATAAAAAAAATTAATAAATTGACCGAATCCTCTTATATTAAACAAAATTTGTTTATTAAAGTGATCCGGTAAAAAAAAAAACTAATTTTTTATCCTCCAAAGAGGAAAAAAATAAAAAAAAACTAAAATTAAAATTTTCCTTTTAAATCCAAAACTTATAGATCACCCTGTATATGATTTTCCTCTTTTTTTTTAAACACAACCGGCGTTTTAGTTATTATAATGAAAATAATATTAAATTACCTTTGGATCTTTTTCGTAATAATATTGTTGAGTACGAATCCATCTCGAGACAAGATTATCCTTAACACTGTGAGCTAGGGCAAAATAATAATCTCGAGATGTAGCGACATTACGATCCTTAACAAGGGTGTAATGTAGATGTCTGTTAAATGTCTTCTTAAAATTTCCAACATTTTCAACATCTACAATGCCCCGCACTGAGATTTGCTTCCTCTTCTCATGATCAACATCATTAGCAGACATTTTCTTTTTCTTTTTTTTTTTAAACACACTCAATCCGAGTTTTTAATTTAAAAAAAAAAAAAAACAACTTTATTCTCTGGAAAAATGATATATTTTATATATATTCACTATGAAATTTAACGTCGAGAAACGAACTCCACTGTAGTCCGTCCACGAATGAAATAGAAGTGAGATGAAATGTCACCTTGTCTCAAGGTTACAAGCATTACGATTGCGCACATAAATGCTTACTTTTCTATCATGTGTTTAAAGAAATGGCGCCAAAATCAATGTATTTGAACCACAACATAATTTGGGCACAATTCCAATATATACACTTTGGGATAATTTAAAAAAAAAAAATTTCTTTTTCATAATTTTATTTATTTTATATTTTTCTTTAGTTTTTTTTTAAATTTATAAATATTTGTAATTAATAAGAAAAAAAATAAATTTTTAACATTCTAAAATATCAATAATCTGTTTTCTTTTTAGTACTTTTAAAATTTATTTATTTTAACATTAAACATGCATATTTTACATAAAAATCTAAACTTACCTTTTTTTTTATTTCTTCTATTCGAAAAAACTAGTTGATTATTCCTTAAAAGTGTAATTACATTTAAAGAATAGAATAATAATTTTGATATTTATAAATGTAATATACAATATTTTTAAATTGAATTATTCATTTATTTTAAACTTTTAAAATAAAAGAAACACTGAACTGCGCATGCGTGGTAGTTGGGTAGCAGTATGCGCAGTTAACGTTTGCGCACAATAACTAAACTTCCTCTACTCAAATGAATTTTAAAAACAAATTACAATTTCTTTGAATTTACAGTTAATAATTTGTTTTATTGACTAAACAAATTATTAAAATATTTAGAATGATAAAAAATTCTTTTTAAATTTTTCCTTTAAGAATTAATATATTGTGCGTTTAATAAACATATATAAGGTTAAGGTAGATCAGTGTAGATCTTTGTTATGCATTTATGTTTATTGCGCACAGTGTTTACTCGTTGCGTTTAACTACGTTTCGTGAAAAATTCATTTCTAATTTTCAAAAAAAGTTTTTTTCATTATAAAATTTGTCTATTTTTACTGAATTAACGCAATTTTATAAAGTTTTATTCACAAAATACAATTTATCAATCAAAATGCAAGGGATGACTATTAAGTCACTTAAAAAACATTATTACGTGAGTAAATGCGTAAAAAAAATTTTTTGTTTTCAAAATCGTATTATTTCATTATTATATACATATAGTTTTTGAAATTTGTAAAATAAAATAAAAACGAAATTTATAAAATTGTTTATATCAAAAAATTGTTTTTCTAAAAATTTCATAATTTAAAAAGAATTTTTTTTTTTTATTCTAATTGTGCGTTTCATGTACCTAGTACATTTTAAATAAAATATAAATTTTATAATTTGGAAATTGCATTGCAAATAATTATTATGTAAAACTAATAATTTTTCTTGACTCTTCTTAAAAAATAAATGTATTATATTCTTTTTTTTACTCTTATAGTTCGAACATAATGTCCTTAAAAAGGGAATAATAATATAATAAATAATAATAATAATAAGGGGCCCCTAATAATAATATTTCTAAAATAAGAATAATAATTCTGAATATAAAAGTTATTTCATATTTTAACAATATATTTTTACTCTAATGTTTTTATTTTAAATTATTTATTCTACAGTTGAAGAATATAATATTCTTAAAATGAGAATAATATTTAAGATATTCTAACTGTACACCAACAAAACGAAATTCTAAATTTAAGAATATCTTTTTGGCGCCTATAGAATATTTACCATGAATTTTATTCTTACAGTTAGAATATATAATAAATTTAAAATAATAATATTCTTAAGAGAAGAATATTTTTTAATTTAATAATTATTTCTTACTTTAAAACTATTATATTCCAATTGTAAGAATAATAAAATAGATAGTAAATATTCTTAAATAGGAACAAAGAAGATATTCTTAAATTTAGAGTTTCGTTTTTTCAGAGTAAAGGTATATGTACTTTAGGTTGTAAGAATATACCATCTTTAGTAATTTAAAATTTAAGAGTTTTTTCTTGGCGTCTATTCAAAAATATTTCTCATGCATTTTATTCTTATAGAGTTAGAATATAATACTCTTAAAATAAGAATTACTTTTTAAAATAAGAAATTCTTTTTTAAATAAGAATTACTTTTTAAAATAAGAAATACTTTTTGAAATAAGAAATAGTTCTTAATTTAAGAATTATTTCTTGTTTTAAGACTATTATATATTCTAACTGTGAGAATAAAATGCATTGGAAAATATTCTTAAATAGGCGCCAAGAAGATATTCTTAAATTTAGAATTTTTAAATTTAAATAGGAGGACAAATTAAATGATATAAAAATAATTTATTTTTTTTTTTTTTGTAGTTGATTCCTCTTCACGGTTGCCTCAGTTTTGGAATATTAACCGCCATTGCCTCCCTTGTGAGATGTGCTATAAAGAATCCTGATATCTCATGGAATTTGAAAAAAAATCCAGAACCCTGGCAAGAATATAAAAATAAGAGATACAAGGTTATAATTGTGTCTATTTTCGCAATTAAATTTTGATCATTAAAATATTTTTTTACATTTTTTTTTTTATAATTTTTACATAGCTACTGGATCCTGCTGGTGCTAGAGGCTGGACAGATGCTCCTCAAAGGCCCGGTACCATTTGGGAATTGTACTTTTAGGTTTAATATTCTAAAACTTTAAGGTTTAATAAAATATTTTCTTAAAATAAAAGTATTTTTTAAAAATAGCAATAAAATTCTTAAATTGAGAATATTTCTTAACCTGTTTATGCCAATACGTATATAGCACTGAGGAAAAATTCAGTATATACTATTCTTAAAATAAGAATATATATACTTAAATTCAGTAAATATTATTCTTAAAATAAGAATAATATATTCTTAATTTCAGTTTACGGGTTTTTCTGTATGTGTAAACATGTGCAATAATGGGTTAATTTAAGAATATTTATTGAATTTAAATTTTTTATTTTAAGAATATTATATATTCTAGGTTTTAAGGATATTGAATTATATTTAAATTTAATAACGAGATATATTAATATATATAATTTATTACTATTATTATTAACCTGGTGTAATAATTAATGTATGTATGTAATTGTTGATATTATGCTTATAAAAAGGAATGCATTCATAAGAATAATAAAAATGTTTTCTTAAAAAAATTTCCTTATTCCTCGCATATAAAAATAACTAATAAATATTAATCATTTATAAAAATTTTATCAAATTAAATTTTAAGCAAATATTTTATCCATCAAGAAAAGTGCGTTATTTATCTTATTTGTTTTTATACAAAATAATTTTGAAAAGATAACATTTTTTTTTTCAATTTAATAGTTAAAAATTTTGAATATTGCGCACTGTGAACAAAGCATAAGTATTGTTTAGGCTGACCTTTTTAGCTGCGCAGTCGTCAAATGCGCATAATAATATCGGTCGTCGACTCTGTTTTTCGCAAATTTTAGCGAAATTTTTCTGTTTACACTTTTTGCAGGCAGCACCGGCTTGCTCGCTTATTTAGTGTAACAGAGATTTTTTGTATTAAAAAAAAAAAAACTGAAAATGCCTCCTATGCTAGGATTAACTGCGAAGAGTTTAAAAAAACATCCATCTGTAAGTAATTAAGACTTAAATTATTTTTTCATTTGATTAACAGATTTTAGTTTCTTTTTTTTTATCTGTCTTCACCTCCAAAATATAGTGACGCTCCATTTTGTGATAAATTTTTACGAATCGTCTAAAGCAAAGCATATGTAATTTTATTAAAAATAAATTCAAGGTCATATTAATAGTTATATATTTGGTAAATTAATTGATTAATTAAATTATTTATATAAAGTGCATTCACGTTCAAATTTTTCAATATGTAAATAAAGAATTCATGTTATATGGAAACATATTTTTAATAATTCTGATCATATCTTTGCGTTACAAACTTTCTATACTTGAATCTATTTTTAGATATACATGGTTATCATTATCTTGTTAAAAAAATAACTGTTGCTAGGACAATGATAGTTTTAATATAAATTGATGATCGTTAATCTTTTTTTTATTTATCTCAATTATAGTTTCTTTTAACTATATTTTTAAATTTTTATATTCTTCGGATAAAAAATATTTTAAAATGTATTAAAAATTTTTTTTGAAATAAAATAAGAATTAATAAGATAAGAATATTTTTTTTATTTAACTAATCATCTCAGGACTATTTTTCTTTCATTTCTTTAAATAAATACATTTTTAAAAACAACACTTTAGTTCTTTTTTCTTGTAGTAAGTGCATAAATTAAAGACTGTTCAAAATTTTAGATCTTAGGTATAATATTAGAAAAATTATAAATATTTCGTCACATAACTATTCCCAAACTGACAAGTAATTAAATTGAATTGATTAAAAAAAATGAATTTAGTAATATAATAAAAACAGGACCTCTAAAAAGTAAAAAAAAAAAATTCTTTGTTAGCTGATTCCTCTTTACTTTTGCCTCGGTGTGGGAGCAACAGCTGTTGTTGGTTACATGACAAGATGTGCTTTAAAAAATCCTGATGTCTCATGGAATTTGAAAACTAATCCTGAACCCTGGCAAAAATACGAGAACAAGAGATACCAGGTAATAATTGTACATTTGCAAAATTTATCATCTCTATATCAGAACTTCTTGAAATACTATGTGTACATTAAAAAAAAAAAAATTCTCAAAAATCCTTTTCTATAATTTTAAATTAGAATATATCCCCTTAAATTTGTTAATTTTTTTCTTTTGTAATTTTACGTCTCATTTAATTTAAAATTTCTAGTTTTTGGATCCTGTTGGTGCTAGAGGCTGGAAAGAACCTCCAAGGCTCAAGAGCATTTGGGATTAAAAAATTCAGAACTGGTCAACATTGATAAACACAAAAATTGCTATCATATTATACTTATAGAGTTAGCATTTTTTGAATTTGAATCTTATGGAACCATATATAGTCAATATGGATCGATATTATAATTAAAAAATACATCAATTTTTTTATGAACTTTGTTCATCGTATAAGGATTCAAGCAGAGAAATATGAAAAATAATACAATGTAATAAGTATACCACTGATTCCAATCAGCGTATATGCACTGATAAATTAGTGAAAATTCCCTGATTTTTCAGTGTATACACGCTAATTGGTAACAGTGGTATACTTATCGCTGATTCAAATTTAGAGAGTTCTTAAATTTATATAACATTTACAAAAACCCAAAAGAACATTTTTAATCATTCCGACACTTTTTTCTACATTTTTCAAAAGAATTTTTTATATTTTATAGCATTTAAATTTTTGATAAAAAATATTTAAATTCCATTTATACACACCTGGAACTTTACATATTTGTACGTTAATAAAAATTTCTACTATCAAGTTGTCGAATTTTTTACATCGTTAAGAAACGATATTTTTATTACCTATAACATTATTGAACTAAACAAGTAAAAATATTGAATTTTAACTAGATTGTTAAAAATTAAAAGTTAACAGAAAATTATTTTTCAAAAAAATTTATCATTTATTTACATTTTTTTCAAAAATAATAAGAGTTAATTAAAGAAATCATTCTAATAAACAAAAATTAACTCCAATCTCTTATCAATAAACAAAATAAGTAAACTAAGTTTTGTAAAATAAAAAATTTTTTAAATTAAAAAAAAAAAAGAAAGCCAACACTACGCGGTATTCCCAAGCGGTCACCCATCCAAGTACTAACCGCGCTCAATTGTGCTTAACTTTGGTGATCGGACGAGAACCAGTGAATTCACAGTGAAATGAGCGTTGGCTGAAATTATAGGTTTTACAAATTGTCCAAATAGTTAACTCTCAGGCAAGTTTATTCTAACATAACCTAAAAATGGCTTCCGCATGCCGTGCGCATGCCAAGTTTATGTGGGGTTGGTAAAAAAAAGAAGGAAAACAATTCTAAGATTTTTTACTTAAATATAAAATTCAATTATATTAATTTTAATAAAGTTAATATTTTATTCAATCTTTCATTCAATTTTCCAATTAAAAAAACTTTTTATTATGCTACCTTTGTACAATTAAAATATTGCAGCTATTTAAAAATTTTCATTGAGCAGACTAGACTTTTAATTAAATTTTAAAAGAGACCTTGTTTTAGATTTTTATTAATATTAATGATATGATTATCAATTCCAAATTTTTATAATTTATTTTGTAATAATTTTAGTATATTACTTAACTGGCGAACTACTGCCAGCCCCGACCCACTAAAACCCGTCAACCCCTCTTGGGAGCCCTTTATCCACCCTCGGAACTATCGGAAGACTCATGCAAACGCTTTTGTTTCTTTTAAAAGAGCCTCAAAATCCATTACATCGAATTGTCAAAACATTGAGTTTCATTACATCGACTCTCAAAAGCACCGACTTTTTATTACACCACCTTATCAAAACATCGACTCGTCAAAGCATGAACTTTTCAATACACCGATTTGCCAAAACATCGAATCTCCTCTCCAATGGCGTCGACAAGCTAATTTGGCTGTCAGTTCATCGAAATATTTCGAGTTCAAGATATGACGTCAGACGCCTGGAGGTACAACAAACAGACGACACAATGTTATTTTTATGGGGAAGAAAATTTGTTTCCACTTTCATCAATTTTATTCATATATTTTCAATTGCATTGATAGATTCTCTGAATTCGGGATAAAATATAAATTTTGAGGTTAGGGGTGTTTGTTTACTAACTTGAAATCTTTTACTGCACTGTAAAAAAACTTTTTGGAGATTCTACATTCACAATTTGTATTTGTGTTAAAATTTGTAAAATTACGATATTCAATAAGGTTATGTTACTACATTAAAAAAAGCACTTTTACAATTTCCTGTAAATTTACTACTTTCAAAGTGGGTAATAGGTGACGGATGCAACAACTAATTATGTTTCACCTATTACCCACTTTGAAAGTAGTAAATTTACAAGAAAATGAAAAAGTGCTTTTTTTAATGTAGTAACATAACCTTATTGAATATAGTAATTTTACAAATTTTAACACGAATACAAATTGTGAATGTACCTACAATCTCCAAAAAGATTTTTTACAGTGAATAACATTGTGTCGTCTGTTTGTTGTCCCTTCAGGCTTCTGACGTCATAAGTGACAGAGCCTAATATGCATCTATATATTTTTTTCAAGCGAGTTTCCTCTCTATGCTTTTAGTCGGTAAAGTAAATTTAAATTGTGCGGGAAATTTGAATTTACATGTAATTTTAAATTTCTCTCACAATTTAAATTTACTCTACCGACTAAAAGCATAGAGAGGAAATTCGATTGAAAAAAAATATCGATGCAATAACAATTCGATGCAGTGGCTTGTCGACGTTGTGGAGAGGTGATGCTTTGGGGCTTCAATATTTTGGTAAAACTGTGTATTGAAAAGTTGATGCTTTGGCGAGTCGACGTTTTTGGAGAATTGATGCATTGGAAAGACAATGTTTTGAAAAATCGACGTTTTGGAAAACCAGTGAATTGGAAAATAAATTATTTTGACAATTCATTGTTTTGGTACGATAATGCATTAGAAAGTCGATGTTCAGGTTGGGAGATATTTTCTGGTGTCGATGAATTGGAAAGACGATAATTTGACGAGTCGATGTTTTGTCAAGTCAATATTTTGATAAGGTGATGTATTAAAAAGTCGGTGCTTTGGAGAGTCGATGAAATGAAATCCGATACTTTGACAATTCAATGTAATGGATTTTGAGGCAAAGTAATGCGTCTGGTTTTCCATAAAGTTACTAAATTTTTACTAGAGCAGGTTGCGGTAGTTGATAAGAATTGTGATAAATGGAGATTTGGTCCAGTAGGGACAATGGAAACCAACCTTGCCTATACAAGAAAGGGGAGATCTTCTGATCAAAATTGGAGAAGACTGCAATAAGAAGGCACTCACTGCTGAGGTCACTAAAGCCGGTTGAAAGCATGTGGAAGGTGGATCACAAGGTTACACTGAAGATTTGCCATCTGGATTGCCTTACCGAGGCTTCTATGAAGAGGTCCAACTGGCGTTGGCGGAAGTACTCCAGAAAGCAGGTAAGTGACGGTCCTAGGACCCAACCAACGAGGAATGAAACTCGCGGTTGTAGTCACCAATCCAGAGGAAGCGGACAGGCTGGAGAAATTGAATCACATAAGGATTGGCTTTATATTATGTTGTCCAGTAAAAAAGAAGGGTGATTGTTGTTTAGTGCCACCAGTGCCTGGCGTACGGCCACATAGGAAGAGTTTGTATGGCAGCCAACAAAAGGACTACGTGCTTCAAGTGCGGTAAAGTCGATTATAAGTTTGCAAAATGCAGGAAAAGCCCAAGCTGCTTCCTACGTAGAGAAAAGTATGGCGATAAGACGATTGAAAAACCCTGTTTTTTAGCTTTAAAATGAAAAAAAAAACTTTTAAATCGGTGCAAAAATAAAAAAGTTACAAGGGTTTTAGTCATAAATATACGTGAAAACGGTTTTTTGGCTGTAAAATCAAAATTTGGGTGTGTTAGGGAAATTTTTTGTTATCTACAACCTCTAGTAGGTCCGATAAAAAGGGTTTTTGGCTGTAGCACAGCGTTAGCTATATCGCAGGCAGTGGAGGATGCGGAGTCCTCAGGACGGCCCTTGAGGAGTCTAAGATGATTCTCGCAAGAACGAAGAATATACAAGTCGGAAAAAACGGCATGGGTCGCGAAAGCGAGATCCCAAGGGAACTTCACCTACGAAGTTTAAAGCTTGACGGCATTTCCGCAATGTCAGGATTAGTTCAGCCAAAGGGTGTGGTTTTTAGTATGTCGACCAGAACAAGAACGGCCATTCCACATAATCTTAGAGCATCGGGCTCCAGGTTTTGGCCTTGGATACCAAGGGTTTTGCAGATTTTCCACTTTCCTTGTAAAAGAAAAAAATATTACAATTTTATTATAAAAATACATTAAACGAAGGAAAATTGGCGTAGATTTTGTAGTAAATTTAATGATCATTAAAAAAAAATTAATAAAGATTAATTTTAATTTAAAAAATTGAAAAACAAAATTTAATCAATTTTTCGTAACTTCAACTATTTTTTAAAATATTTAAAAATATCTTAAGCGACAGCACAGCGACAGCTTAAGTGCAGGTCTCATTTGGGTTAGTGACGTGAACTTCTAACCCCAATTCATCCTGTGATTTTATAAGCATCTAAATACTTTAATTATATATATATATATATATATATATATATATATATATATATATATATATATAAATAAAATAATGAAATAGATTTTTCAATGTAAAAAAAAAATTAAAGAATATATACAACGTTTGTCATTACATAATTGAAAATAACTAGAAAAAAATTTTTTAAAAAAGAATAGAGGTCTGAGAGACCGGGAAAAGCGCTAAAAGTAATTTTTTTAGCACTTAACAGTTTAAAGGTTAAAAATGGAGACATCTCCAACACAAATAAACATGGAGACTTTTCTTTCCATTGATCCTAAAGAACAATAAAAAAAATGTTGCCGGGTTTTCGAGTAATTAAAAAAAATAGTGCGAGCATGCATGGAAATAAAATCGAACGTCGATAATTTTTATTTATCGTCTCGCTGGTTTTATTCGTGGGCCAGGGCGTTAACAAAAAATTAATAAGTAGCCGCTGACTTGAGCACAATTTTTAACATATTATTCATAAATTTTTCTATGAAAATTTAACATTTCTATAACATGAAAAATATTATAAATGTGTTATAAATTAATTACCCATATCTTTATTAAACAAATGAAATAAAAATTATCGTTTTCATAATTAAAACTTTACAGAATATTATCGGAAATTGAATTTTACTTTTTTAAACTAAAATAATTATTAATTTTTTAAATTATCAATTATTAATTCAATTTCTGATAATACTCTGTAAAGTTTTCCAAATTAAAAATTTTAATTGTAAAAACAATAATTTTTATTTCATTTGTTTAATAAAGATATGGTAAATTAACATCTTACATATTTATAATATTTTTCGTATTAAATTTCATAGAAAAATGTACAAATAATATGTTAAAAATTATGCCCGGGTCAGCGTCTAATCATTAATTTTTTGTTAACGCCCTGGCCTAAGAACGAAACCAACGAGACGATAAATACGAACTATCGACGTTCGATTTTATTTCTATGTACTATTTTTTTAATTACTCGAAAACCCGGCAACATTTTTTATTCTTCTTGAGATCAATGGAAAGCATCGATTTCGGAAAAACTCATCCATATTACAAATATATAAGGTTTGACAAAAAAGAAAACGATAAATTGTTCTTAATGTCATTTATTTATAAATAAATCGTGCGAATGCAGATGCAATAATGAAAACGTCAAGAAGCGGTATTACAATTTTTTTCTGATTTCTTAACATTTTACCACCGTCTCGATAAAAACACGTGATTTGGTAATAATAGTTTAGATATTTAGGTTACAATATAATATAAAGTTGCATCTTCATCGTATATTTTCTCATTTACGACTCAACTTTCATATTTACCGATTAAATTTCTATGTATAATTCGACGTCGCTTTGTTTTTTTTATTATATATAATAATAATTAATAATAATAATAATTTATCATAGATGTATAATTGCAATAATTATTATTATAGAATATAATAGCAATATTTCGCAATCAACATCATTTTTAAGAGACATATACGACAATTTTTTCGTTTGTATATTCGCTTTATTTTTTATTTTTTTTTTTTGTATTTTTTGTATTTTTTTTTTAATTCTTTTCTTTCATCATATTAAATATCTATTTAAGTTAACAACTAAAACACGAGGGACCGCTGGACATTAGACGACATCTTAAGACCTAACAATAAAAAAGAAACAACCTCCGTCAAGCGCTTACTCCCTATCGTGTTCCGTTTAAAAATTTTTCTCAACTAATGTGTATCTCACTCTTTTATTTATTTATTTTTTTTTAAATCTTTTCTGACTATCCGACATTTTTTTTCTTGCGTTGGCCACAAAACGGAACACCTCGGCGTCCTACATTTAAAAAAAGGGGATGAATAATGGAATTGTTATTTATGTGAAATATCGCTAATTGAGAATTGATGATTTTTTTTTTTTGTTTTATTGATATAGGGCGCTTAATGGTCATTTGTTTAATATACCTTAAATATGCCTTTTTTCGATCGAGGATTTGAGTATCGTCGAAAGGAGGATGCTGGAGAAGGAATGAATTTTTCTCAAAAGAAACGATTTTGAATTAATAATAACAAAATCATTTCTTCTTCTCATTTAAACCGCACAAACAAATGGGAGGAGTTTCGCTCCATTGCAGACTCTTACAAGTTCACTACAAATATTTTACCGTTGCTTGTTGGCAAGCGGTTCTTTTTTTTGTTTAATTGTACGCTACATTTTTACTGATTTTTTTCCGTTTATTTCTTACTTAAGACATATTTATTATTTTGCAAATATTAGATATTTGATCAATAAATTGGATCTTAATTCTCTCACTTGAGTCGATGTCCTCGCAATTAAAAATGTTCATACGATGAGTTTAAAGAGTTTTTTTTTCTTGGATTGTTATACATATATTTTGTTACCTGTTTGTGAAAATTTTTTTCGCTGGGTTTTTATGTTTTATTCTTTCATTCGGTTTAAAAACTGCTCGCCGAAACCAACCGCGATGTCTCGTATTCGTTGCCTTCTTCAAACGCACTCTCAGCGACATTCTTAATTCGCTGCTAAAAAAGCCATCTTTTTCTCTCTCTAGAAACACTTTCATGCTCTTCATCCCTCTCTTCACTGTCGACTCTTGTATTTTTTTTTTTTTTTTCTTTTTTTTTTAATTTTAAATAAGCGTTACTTATTCCTCCTTCGTAGGCTCAGCCTTCTTGCCCAGAGGAATAGCGGCCTTTACTCTACAATAAAGAATTCATAGGGAAAAATTAAAATTAGATATATCGATTTAATTTGTAGTATTTTTATCCAAATCCTCATTTGACGAGTAGAAAGGTCATTTAAATGTGACGCGTTTTGAAGAAAGGGACCTAAGAAGCAAACAAATTTATAGGTTATGTTTACGAACAATTTTACTTTGATTGAAAGTTCCTTTTTAATTATGTACGATAAAAATCAGTTTTTATTGAATATTTTTTATGTAATGAAGATTTAGAAATCAAATACTTTTTATTAAGAGTTGATCCACTTTATGTATTTTCAGTTAAAAATTTTGAAACATAACCTACAATTTTTTGCTTCTTAGGTCCCTTTCTGCATATCGCGTCACAAATTAATTTCAATTTTTTTTTCAAATTTAAATGTAAATTGAATAGTTAATAGTTAGTCCGTTTTAGAACGCAAAAAATAGACACTTCTTTACTATTTTTTTTATCACTCATTTTTATTGTAAATTTAAAAAAACTTTTTACATTTAAAAATATAATATTTTAACTGGAGGGAAGAATTTTTGTTTTTCTTTTTTATTATTTATTGTTTCCAGAGGGTGACAAAGTCAGAGTGTAAAATTTGTAATTTTTTTTTTTTTTTTATTTTTTAAAAAAGCAAAACAAAAATTTGTTCCCTCTAGTTAAAATATTATATTTTTAAATGTAAAAAGTTTTTTTAAATTTACAATAAAAATGAGTAAAAAAAGTGTCTACTTTTTTGCGATCTAAAACAAACGTGTGTCTTGAAAAACAACAAATTTTTTTTTGAAAATTAACTACAATGTAGAAACTAAAAAATATAAACAATGATCTTACTTGGTTGTAATGTCGTTAATCTTTGTTTGAACTAAAGCTAAATTTTGGTCAATTTGTGCTTTATTCGTTTCGTACACTTTTGGTAGTGTAAACAAAGCCACAACTCCTGTAAAATAGAAAATAAACAAACATGAATTAAATATTAAATTTTTTTTTTTTTGAAAGACATAATTTTTTTATATTTGAAATAATATTTTCTATAAAACGTACCAATAATTACGAGAGTCATTCCATTGAACCATGATCCAAGATAAGTTAAACACCATAAAACACCACCAAATTTGAGTGTGTCGACCAAATCTTCAACCAAAAACAGCCTGCGAAGTTCACTAACGGCGGCATTTGCATTTGCAACTGCAACGTCAGCAACTTCATGTACCCTTTCAGCTGGTAATTTTAAATCCAAATCTAAAATGTTCCTAGAAAAAAAAAAGTAAAAAATTTGTTAATAAATCAGAAATGACAGTAACAAAATTTCTAAAAATATAAAAAATTTATTTAATATATTAATTTTAATTTTTCATTTTCTATATTTTTAGTTGTACCATTTTTAAATTTAGCGCCATTATCAATAGCCATTTTTATTAAATGGTTGGTACTAGTATAGGTATTTATTCTATCGTGATGTCGATAACGTGACGTCAAACTTAATAAAAAAAAATTTATGAAATTGGTCATTTTTAAGAAAAAAAATTCATTTTTAAACGAATATTGAAATAAATTAGAATGAAATTTGATACTTGATTAAAAAATCGCTAGATTTTCTTAAATTTTGATATCTAGGGATTTTTTGGGACACAGATAATGAATCTGTAAAAAGTTTTCAAAAATTCAAAATGGCGGATGCAATATGGCGAACGGAATTTTAGGAAATCTCTTGATTTTCCTAAGACTTGGTTTCTAGAAGTTTTTTGGAACGCTGATAATAAATTTGCAGAAAGTTTTCAAAAATCCAAAATGGCGTACGAAATTTTCCAAAATTACTAGATTTTTTTAAAAAATTGGTACACGGAGAGAAGAGGTACAGTGGTGGCTACAAAACGCGTTTAGTAGGCAAAAATATTGTTAGGATAATTTTACTGGCATTCGCTGTTACTAAACAGCGTTTAGTTCCTTGTAGTTGAATTTACTAAACGGTTCTTTTGACAACACTACCCCTTGATTAAATGCGACTGCTCAGTCTCCCCACTTCTTACCAGTTTTTATGTTATGAAAATGGCGGACACTTATATTGTTTGCGACACTTTGACACAAGTGAGTTGATTATATTCAAAATAGATAACTCATGAATATAGAAGATTTATTGTCTAACTGGGGCTCTTCCAGTTATGAGGAAAAATTCAAAGATAAGTTTATTCTATTAGTAAATTTAAAACAATATATATATATCATTTAGTTCTGTCACACAAAAAAATTTACCGACAGAATAAAAATGCACAAATCTGATTTGTTGTCCACAATTAACCAGATTGCGGACAACCAATCAGATTTCTACATTTCGTTTATGTCGGTAAATTTTTTTCTATCGATAATCGTGTAAATTTTTTTACTAAACAGTATCGTTCATTTAACTGACTGTTTAGTCCGTCCAAAATGGACGATACTGTTTAGTAGATTTAACTGAGCTTTATTATTTATTTTTACAAGAAACAGTAAATTTAAATCATTTTAATCACGTAGAGTAGGTTATGTTTAGCATATTCACAACAAAGGCGGCCATTTTAACTTTTTGACAGTTTTAACAGTTGGCACTACTCTACAGTTAATATGTCACAGCTACAAAACGGCTGTTTAGTAAATCCGACTGTTAAATTAGTTCAGTAATTTAATTAGTTTAGTTATCTACTAAACGGTATAGTCACCAGAAATGGCGCGACAGTCGCCATCACTGTAAATTTCTCTCCGTGATATCTAGGGTTTTTTTTTAACCGCTGATTATGAATCTGCACTTAGTTTTCAAAAATTGAAAATGGCGGATAAAATTTTAAGAAATCGCTAGATTTTTTTAAAACTTGGCATCTAGGGGTTTTTCCAAACACTAATTATGAATTTGCACTTAGATTTGAAAAATTAAAAATGGTTGATCGAATTTTGGCTAAAACATATTGATTCATATTTCTAAAATTTGAAAAATGAAATATAAAATAAAATATACAACTTACTTAAAGGGATGTCCGTCTGATGTTTTTTGGACTGCCTGCATCACAGCTTTGTAAATACGGAAAGCTACAGTGCCAGTGAGAGTGAGAAGTGATGTATATGCGAGGACGCTGATCAAACTGAAGTAGGCCAGCGATAGAAGCACTCCTAGAATTGCACCAAAGACGATTCCAGACTTTTTGGGATCACGCCAATAAATAAGAGCAGCCACTAAAAAATCAAAATAAATAATTGCTTCATTATAGAATCAGCTTCATCTTTTTTATACTCTATTAAAAAGACAAAAATTTTGCTTAAACAAATAACGAAAAAATTATTTTACCATAGAGGTTAAATATAAACATACAACAAATTTGTAATAGAAAAAAAAAATCATTTTTTAGAGTGAAAAAATATCAAAAGTGAATTAGAGTTCAATAATCAAAATGGTGGATCCAAAATGGCGAAAGCAGTGCCGTATTTAGTTTCTCTAAGACCCGGAACTATTATTGCAATTGTAAAATGTAAAAAAAATTTATTTTATTTATTTATTTATAAATGTTGCAAAAATTATTATTCATACGAAAATTTGAAAAATATTTTCATCGAAAGAAATTTATAAAAAAAAAAAATAATTTTTAGAGATGAAAATTAATGGAAAAAATTCAATCAATTATTGCTATACTAATGGTAAATAATTGGTTAGTCAGACACTTCCCACGTACAATATTGTATAACTACGCGTTAAAAAATATATATATATAAATTCCTCTATATTTGGAATCTTTGATGATCACTAATATCATCCTTTTTTATAAATATACAATCATATATGTATATGCATTTCTAGATGACATCATTCAATGAGAACGATACCTGTTTACAAAGTGCGCATGGCAGTGTAGGAAACGAAGGTAGATCAGACTACCATTTCACTTCCGGTATACACGTATGTAAAGCAGAAATATATATATATATATATATATATATATATATATATATATATATATATATATATATTGCAATCGATTATTATATTTTTAATTTAAAAAAAAATTCTTCAATGAAACATTTTTAATTATTATTTCGTAAATGTTGACAAAAATTAATAATTAAAAATAATTAAAATAAATAATAATAGTAATAATAATTAATAAAATAAAATTAATTGTATATTACCATATATTTTATTATATATTATAATTAATAATCAGTTGATATGGAAATCATCCAAAATTAATTTAATTTACTCGTAGATGTCCCTTTATTGAAATTTTATTCGAATAATTCTCTGATAAAAAGCATTCAGTGAATTATAATTAGATACATAAATCACAGTTGTATTCTGTATATATGCATAATAATATTCATTCTAGAGTCAAAATTTTTTAAAAATTACATATTTAATTTTTAAAATTTGCAAACAAAAATTAAAAAAAAATAAATATATTTTAAGGATAAATTTATCATATTCCCGTGAAAATAAAAATGAGCATAATGATATTAGTTATTTTTGACTTAATGATAATATGACTTGAGACCTGCTTTATCTTTGTATATATACTTGTCGCGAAAACGCAACGTCAGAATTAAATTTCTGACAAAAGAATTTAATAAACTTTTTTCTATCAAAACATCAGCGAAAATTTTAAATCTCAATTATCATTCACCATTTTTTTTTACACTAGTATATAGTGAATCTATTAATAATCACAAAATATATTTTCTCATTTATCATGAATGTAAAAAAAAAATTAATTACATTTGCAACCAAAATATAACAAATATTATTCATTTTTAATATTGAGGATTTATTTTTGAATAAAAATTTTAGAAAATTTCATTACTATTTTATTTTAGATTACAAAAATTAAAATATTTTTTCATTTCTTATTTTTGTGAAAAAAAAAAAATATTTCAAATCTTTTACAAGAAATCAAATTACAAAAATAAAAATGTAAAACAAATAAGATAAGTTCTGTTATAAATTAATTATCTTTATCAAATGATTGTATAAATTTTTAACGTTTCGAATGTAATCTTTTCACTGTTAATTCAGAAGCCTAATGTGTGTAAATTGTGACTTGTAAAATTCTTCAATAATTATTAAAATTTTTATTATTATTATTTTAAGAATAAAAAAATATATATATTAGAATTTTAAATATAATTAGTTCGAGGAAAATTTCCAGTGTATTAAAATGCTAATTTCATTATTAAAAGTCTGATAATTTGAAAAGTTTTAATTTTATTACGTAAAACAAATTTTGATTCACGAATAACTTTTAGAGAATACAAATTCATGTCTCTGTATAGGTATTTTTTAATTTGCAATAAATTTTATTTAATCTCAGAGAAATATTTTGTTTCAACCAAATACACCATTTTATTATATTAACACAATTTTTTATTTATATTTCAAACGTTTGATTCAAATAAATATTTATTTGATCTAAATAAACATTTGGTTTATTTTAACAAAAATTAGGTTTTATTTTTTTTCATAAGGGTCAATATATGAAAGAAAAAATAATTCCTTTATTTCAAATATTTCAGCATCTTTTGTAAACACGACAAAAAAAAAAAATATTAAAATAGAAAAAAAACACTTTTGAATGAACCTCATTGTTAAATTTAGTTTTTAAATATTTTCAACTATGGTTTTGTATTTGTTCAGTAAGTGAGAGTTAACACTGAACTACGAAAGAGACAAGGCCAGCCATCATCCTTGCACATTGCAAGAGGCAATGGGACACTCCTCAAGTGCATCTAGCTCTTTCTCTTTCTATACAAGAAAACATCTTCTATACCATTAAATTTCAAACGCTTTTACTGTCAATAACCTGTATTTGTTACAAAACTTGTTTTAAAATGCTTTTTCCATGTATCTAATGATAGTCTATTATTTCTCACTTTTAAATTTAAATATATTCACTTTTAACAAGTATATATATTTAAAATACGAAATATCAGTCAACCTTTATTAATCACTATCCAAAAAAAAAAAAAAAAAAAACATTCACTTTTTTCTAATTTTAATCATCTTTCTTAATTCATTAAAATTCTCCTCCTCTATAAAAAAAATATATTCAAATTGACATATTCAGACCGAATAATAATCATATAAAATTTCGAAAACTTTCTTTTTCGAAACCGTATATGAAAATAACTATAAGCTTTAAAGTAAATCGAAATAGAAAGTAAACACAGAAAATTATAAGGTATTAAAATAAGCTGCAACGCTCATTATTTTAATCCAATTTTGTTTATTTTAATACCAAAAGTGGATTAAAATAAGCAAAATTGGATTAAAATAATAAACGTGGCAGCTTATTTTAATGCCTTTTAATTTTCTGTGAAGTTTAAAAAAGTTTAAAAATTGTAAATAAAATATTTTCTTATATATGATTGGTCATATAGTATTCAGTGGAACATTTAACAGTGGGACAAGCAAAAATTTTTAATCTATACGTGGAAATTGGCAACTCTGATCGTATAGAATGTTGTCTGCTTGATTTTTTTTTAATTCGACCAATGAAATAACTTGAATTTTGCGCTCAAATTTGTTTTTAGGTTAGGACGTTATTATACCTATACTCTTTAAATTTGAATTAGTTAAAACTAAATTATCTGATAGCAAAAAGACAGTTACCGATTCAAATAGTAATATTTTTAATAATATTTTAATTTAATTTCTCTTTTAGATTATGTTAAAATAATCAAAATTTCTAGTAACTAATTCAATTAGTCAAATTGGACATTTTTTCAGTTATTTTTCCACTAAAAATTAGTTATTTTATTAGTAATAATTTTTTTTTTTATTACCATCGTAAGCAACTTTTGAACTTAAATTTTACAATTAACGAATAAAAAATTATCCAGAAAATTTTGATTGGTTTATTTTAAAATTCATTCCTAAATATTTCTGACCGTTTATTCAAAGAAATAAAAATTCTTTAATATAGAAAATTGATTTAATGCAAATTTTGTCAAAAAAAAAAATAATTCGAACAAATATAAATTCAACTAAAAGAAAATTCTATCCAATGAAATTCTATGGAATAAAAATTCCAACAAATTAATTTTAGACATTATCTCCTATATTTTATTGGGTACGTGTTAAGTAAAGTTTAATTCTACAAACTTTTAATTATTTTTCCAGAAAAATGTGGATAATATCCATTATTCAATGTGGTCTTACTCTGTTTTTACTTGTATAGTTAAATATCCTCCTATAAATACTGATTTTTGTTTTGTATATATATACAACCACGATCTCTCTATCAATATTCTATTTTGGTTCGCGCGCAGTATATCACACAGAAAAAAACTCAGTTCTTGTATAAGTTGAAACTCTTTTTTTTTCATTAATCATCATGTTATCTAATTATGTAAGACTTTTAAAATCCTCTATTTGTATTCATGCTTTTCCAAAGACGAAAATAAAAGAATAAAATAAAGTATGAAAAATAGTATTGGGAATCAAAAATTTTCTATATGCACTGTAAAACTAGAGGTATTAATTTAATACCAACTTTAGGTACTAAATTGCTTTTTGGTTCTATTTTAATACCTAAAATCGGTACTATTTTAGTACCTTCTTTATACAGTGTGCAATTCGTTCTGATCGATATACTAATACACAAAAACGTTACGCAAACGTATAAAATTACACTCTATATTCTTTCGCTCCAAACTTGAGTATTGTCTACATTTTGGTCACAGATATATACAAAACCTTTGTTCCACCTCAGGACCCTTTAGTAAATTATTTTCTTCTAAACCTTATAAACTAAATATTTAAAAAACTAATTTAAATAAATATTTATAACAAATCAAATAGATTAATAATTACATAAAAAACGATGTTTAAAAAATAGAAGTCTTTTTTAAGGGGTTTTATCCACGAAAATGCAAACCTCAAGAAATAAAGAATTAACCATTAAATAATAAAAATATTATTAATTGTACAATATTAATCCCTACCAAAAATTGACAGAGTTCAGTACTGGCGCGGTACTGGTACCAGTATTGCGTCGGTCGTCAATTTTTGATAGGGATATTAATAATAATATTATTTTTATTATTTAATTGTTAATTAATTATTTTTTTCCAGAGGTCTGCATTTCCGTGGATAAACGTTTTTAAAGAAAAAAAAAAAGAAAATCTTACCGAAATTTTAAAATAATTTGAATATAAAATTAAAAGAAAATTTATGTCTAATTGTAGAC